AGTTAGAAATGATTAAAATGGTAAACTTCATATTATGTACCTTACCACAATAAAAAAGATTTAAAATTTAAATATTTACATAAGGAAAATTAAATTTCAACACTACATTGTAACATAAACCAGTAAGTTAGAAATTGTTAAATGTCATTTTAATTTTAATAAAATGTATACATTTTTAAATAAAAATTTAATTTAAAAATATAAATTTTAAAAAGAGACAGTAAAAATGAGATGTATGAGGCTGGTGTTGGTGTCACACAGCATAATGTCTCACAGGAAACTTTGTAAGTAGAAAGAGGACACTAAAATAATGATAAAAGTATTATATAGTAAATACATTAACCAGTAACATGGTCATTTGTTATCATTTTCAAGCATTAGGTGCTGTACGTAATTATATCTGCTACACTTTTATATGACTGTCAGTAGGTGTGTTCACACCAGAAGCACCACAAATACATGAGAATAGCTGCATCATCACTAGACCATAGGAATTTTTCAGCTCCATTATAATATTATGGGATCATGATTGTACATGTGGTCTGTTGTTGACCAAAATGTGATTATGTGACACACGACTATACATATAAATGAATAGAACTGAAGTGAGAGCCCGGAAATAAGCCCATCCGTCCACAGACATCTGATGTTTGACAGGGGCAGACATCATCAAATTGGGTCAAGAAAGGTCTTTTCAACAAATGGTGCTGACTATTCACCAGCAGAGCAATGAAACTGGACCCTTACCTCACAGCACATACAGAAATTAACTTTGTTGTTTTGTGTGTTTTTAAAAATATATATTTTATTGATTTTTTACAGAGAGGAAGGGAGAGAGATAGTTAGAAACATCGATGAGAGAGAAACATCGAACAGCTGCCTCCTGCACACTCCCTCCTGGGGATGTGCCCGCAACCAAGGTACATGCCCTTGACCGGAATCAAACCTGGGACCTCTCAGTCCGCAGGCCGATGCTCTCTCCACTGTATGCACTGAGCCAAACCAGTTAGGGCTGTGGGGGTTTTTTTAAACGGGGGGGGGGGGGGGGGAGCAATTGGTTGCCTCCTGACCAGAATTGAACACACAACCTTTTGGTGTACAGAACAATGCTCCAACTAATTGAGCCTCCTGGCCAGGGCCTTTTCTAGACTTTTAAAATTACTGGAAAGTAAATCAATATTCAAAACACCTGTGTCAATACCAAGCCAGAGAAACAGAGAAGAGCCAAGTTTGTTACAGAGGCCAAGTCCTACGCAGACCCAGTTCCCCCAGCGTGGTGAAGCTAATCGCCCATGTCCAGTCCCCATGTCAGGGAGAGGCATTATGGGAAGATTATCTTATTAGCCACTATGCCTTGGGTATCACAGATGCCCTGGGATGTGGTAGGTACAGCAGAACTTTTTAATTCCAATTTTCCACATCCTCACTCCACATCTAAAACGCTGTTTGTTTGCAGAATCCAAAATTCAGTACATTTGCAGAATAGAAAACCAACATACCCAAATCAGTTGTGTTTCTATACACTAATAATGGACCACCAGAAAGAGAAAATAAAAAATAATCCCTTACAACTGTATTAAAAAGAACAAAATAACTAGAAATAAATTTAGCGAAGGAGGCAAAAGACTCATAAACTGAAAACTGCAAGACACTGATGAAAGAAATGGAAGACACAAATGAATAAAAAGATATCCCGTGCTCATGGATGAGAAGAATTAATATCGTTAAAATGCCCTTATTACCCACAGGGATCCTCAGATTTACGGCAATCCTGATCAAAATTCCAATGGCATTTTCACAGAAATAGAACACACATTCCTAACATTTTTTGAAACCACAAACAGCCAAAGCAATCTTGAAAAAGAACACTGGAGGCATCAGGATCCCTGACTTCAGGCTACATTACAAAGCGATCATCACCAACACAGGTGTTGGTATTGGCATAAAAACAGACACGGGCCAATGGGAGCAGAGCAGAGAACAGAGACATGAACCCTCATAAATGGCGGTGGTAACAACGGACAGCCACACACAAAACAACAAAAAATCAACACACTGGTTACACCACACAGAAAAACAAACCAACAAAATAAAACAAACAAAAAAACGAAAGAAAAAATAAGCAACTCTCCTCTCATAGCAGAGCCTCCAGGGCGGGTGCTGAGGTAAACCGGCGTCCTCTGCACAGACACGGCTCACACTGTCCCCCACATTGTCCGGAAGGTCTGGTGGGGTCTCCTGTGCACCCTGAGGAGATGGAGCTCAGCTTGCGGGGGGGGGGGGGGAGGCATGCAGCGGTCAGAACGCGCATGCGCCAGTGGGGTCTTCAACGTGGGCCCAGCTGGGCAGCACAGGATGCGCGGTGCTCACAGTTCGGTGGAGACCACGCCCCCTTTAGGCAATCCAGCTGAATCCATTAAATTTGGGAAATTCAAGCTAAATAAAATCCATCTCATGACCTCCAAAAACACATGAAGTGTAATTAATTGGACACCATATGGGATGAAATGAACGTAGACACAAACTTTACAACAGACACCAAAACGCACTCAAAACTATCCTTTCCTGCCTGGGGAAATGTTTTATCTCAGCTCCAGCCCAGGCAAGCAACAGACCAGCCCAGGCTGCCCTCAGGCCCAGCTGCATTGAATAGTGACCTCCTGCCCTGGTGCCTGCCAGCCAATCAGTGGAGAGCACAGTCCTGAATGGCCACACCTGGAAAGCACCCCTAAAACCCTCAGCAGCGGACCCAGTGCGCTCTCCCTCCCAGGAGCACACACCCGCCTTCCCCTCCCCCTCCCTGTTCCAGGCTCGTTACCGTTAGCTTCCTCACTGCCACGCTCCTTTACCTCTAGAACTTATTTCCTAAGCCCATTTCTTCTGGGAATGACTTCTTCTCCCTCTGTGATTTCCCAAATAAACGTTCTCTTACAGTTTGGGTCTTGGCTCTGAATTCTTTCCTAGCCAGAACCCAAGTACCCAGGTTGCCGAACCCAGGTTTGGTCTGAGCCCATGGGCCAGACACCTGGTGCCGTTCCCACCGCCTACATTCTCAATGAAGGCCCGGACTTAAATCTGGTTAACAACCATACCCTTGTTTACTGTTCTGCTGGACAACCTGCCTTAAAGGGCTTTCCCCTCCCCCAACATCTTTCTTTTGTTTTTAGCTCAAGATGGTACCTAAGGTAATGACTTGGGCTCCTTCAGGGAGCTACTCAGTTTTCCTATCCTTCAAGGGCCAGGGAGATAAACTTGGTTTTCTCCTGTTAATCTGTCTTTATTACAGGGGAGCCTCCGCCAACCTAGTAGAGGGAAATTACTTCCCTCGGCTACACAAGCAGTGGAACACAATTCAAAACAGAAAGGAATGAACCTCAACCTGGAGAAGGAGGGGGTTCTACCCAAAGTAACCTCACGGGGAGATCTGATCGCAAATTCCTAACTCAGAAGGTCTCGGTGGGTGGCCACGCCCCAGGCATCTAACTTTTCTAGTAAAAGGTTTTTATCTCTTTGCCTTAAGCAAGCCCTAACCATTGTTTTTGTGCATCCTGGTTAACACACCTCTGAAGTAAGCTGAAACACGCTTTTGAAATAACTACCCTCCAGAGAGAACATAATCTTATTAAATATCCTGAATCCACCCCCCTTCCTCCAACTCCCTGGCTCATTTAATCTCCCTTCCATTCCCTCCTTAGTTCCAAAGGCTTGAGACGCTGCAAAACTGTGCTTCTCAGGTGCATTTGAGAGCGTGCTTCCTGGCAACTGTAGTCAGCTCTGGCTCAAATAATCTCTTACAGAAATTCTCTACAGAGTTGAACGTTTCTTATGTAAACAAACCCATGTAAAGATATGGCTGAATCTTACATGTATATCGCCAAGTAAAAGAATCCTGTATGGCCGAAACCGGTTTGGCTCAGCGGATAGAGCGTCGGCCTGCGGACTGAGGGGTCCCAGGTTCGATTCCGGTCAAGGGCATGTACCTGGGTTGCGGGCACATCCCCAGTGGGAGATGTGCAGGAGGCGGCTGATCGATGTTTCTCTCCCATCGATGTTTCTAACTCTCTATCTCTCTCCCTTCCTCTCTGTAAAAAATCAATAAAATATATTAAAAAAAAAAAAAAAAAATCCTGTATGAAGAGGCCACACACGGTATGACCCCATTTCTATATCATTCTGGGAAAGGCAAAACTACAGAGATGGTAGGCCACGGTGTGGAAGGTTCAAATGTTCCACAGAGTATTTTAGTGATAGATATCAGCCATTGTGCATTTATGAAAACCCATAGTTTTTTACAGCCCAGAGACTAAATCATAACCTATTCAAATTAAGTTATTTAGGATGTGGGAGTGTCAGAGAATGGAATACAGAGTATGCTGAAGAATGTAACCATATTAGAAATGCAGACAAGAAAGTCACTGTAGGTAGTGGGGCAAAAGGTGCTGACCTACATAACTCTGAAAAGGAACAGAATCTATAGACTAAAGCAAAATGTACTGTATGGACACAGAGAGCTCTATTTTATAGTTATTTCCCTTGGGGTAGTTTACAAACCTGAAACCACTCTCTATATAATCTGGAATGGAGCGATGAATCAAGTACGCGGCAGACAACCCTACCTGGGTAGCTCAATTGGTTAGAGCAGTGGTTCTCGACCTTGGCTGCACATTCGAATCCCCTGGGAATCTTTTTTAAAATCCTGATTTCTGGGCCTCATCCTCCAGGATTCTGTTTCTTTGTTACTAATGTTGTGGCCCCACCCCATAACAAAGAAACAGAATTTCCAAAGGATGAGGCCCAGAAATCAGGATTTTAAAAAGATTCCCAGGGGATTCTTAATGTGCAGCCAAGGTTGAGAACCACTGGGTTAGAGGGTCTTCCTGATACACCAAGGTTGCAGGTTCAAACCCTGGTCAAGGGGAGGTTACACTGTCCATGTGATAATGGATCAGGCTGGAGACAACAGTATAAATGCATCTTTAGCTTAATATAGATACAGACAGTTCCACATAGAAATCTTTATATTTAGGTGGGTATACACAGGTGGGAATGCATGCACACATTTCCTTGCACGGTCACCTGAGCACATTAGCTCCCACATGATGTAGGTTTTTAATGCCATTCGGTACGAACAGGAAGCAGCGCCCTCGGAAGAAATGACCGACGGAAGGCGTGGCTGTGACTTTCATTTGGCTTGTTGACTTCGCAACCACTGTTGACTTCACAACACAGCTCAGCTGAGCCGCTGCCAAGGGAGGGCTCTCCCCGCTGCTGTAGGAACAGTCCTCAGAATGGCCGTGAGGAACAGAGGTGCTGATAACATTTGTCAAGCAAATGCCCTAATTTACTAAAAATCCACATAATACATTTTACAAAAACAGCATTTATCTAGATCTCTTGGTCCCTTCCTTAAGCCAACAAAAGAAGGGGTACTGAGGGAGCTCTATTCATAATGGAGGGTCCCCATCCAAACAGGGCAGCCCGGGGCACCACCAGGCCAGGCCCCTTGTCCAGTGCACAGGAGGTGGGTTTAACAGAAACCCCTCTGGGAACCAGCCTGGAGCACCTGGAGCCTGGAGCACTTCATTGCCATCCCAGGCGAGGGCCCTGCCGGCACCGCGGACATCCTGACCCACAGCCTGAGTTCCAGCTGGGGCCCTGCCTGGGCGGCTTCCTGCCTCAGGAGTTGGAGACTGGGTACCCATAGTGGTTGCGGTCAGCCTCACCCAGGGCCAGCGTCAGTGACAGGCTAGGCTTCCGTTCCAGCTCCCCTTCTTCCAGGCCGTGCTGTGGGGGCCGGGTTTTGAAGAAGTCGGAGATGTAGCGAACCTGGGTGAGGAAAAGAGGCAAAAGTGGGCTGGGCAGGGGTCGGACCGGGACCCAGGTGAGGGAGGTGGGGAATGGGACCCTGGGAAGCGAGTGGGGGGGTGAGGGGTGGTAGAACCCACGAGGGGATGAGAGCTGTGCTGGGGGCAATAAGAAAAGCAGAACCTGGGGTGGGAAGACTGGGATCTTAGGGGAAAGACGGGAGTAGAGAACTAGGGACTATAAAAGGGAGAAAGAGGGTAAGCGGGTCCCAGGGCAAAATGTTGGGGCCCAGGAGCTCACAGTGAGGCAGGCCACCAGTGCCCCCTGCAGGAGGCCCACGAGGACATCACTCCAGTGGTGTTTGTGGTCAGATACGCGGGTGTAGCCCACATAGAGGGCAAAGGCCACCAGGAAGAACTGCACCGTCGGCCGCAGCAGCCGTGCCCACTTCCAGCAGAGCCGCGCCTGCACATAGAGCTGGGGGTGCAGAAGGCAGCCATGAGCGCAGGAGCCTGCCGGGTTCACCCCACGGCCAATGCACAGATGGGAGCCCGAGGCCAAGAGTACAGAAGCCCAGGGCCTCCAGTTCTTATGAACAAACCACTTAGCCCAACCAACCCCCTCCTCCACCCGCCCTGTTTTAGGGATGAAGAAACTGAGGCCCAGCAAAGGGGAGTGACATGGCCATAGTCCCACCCCAAGCAAGGCACCGGAAAACCAACTCACCGCCAAGAACACCATGCAGTACATCCCAAAGGAGGAGTGTCCGGAGTAGAAAGATAATCTAAGAGAGGAGAGGGCAGCAGGCATCAGGAGGGCCCATGCTCTGAGCCCAGACAGCATCTCTACCTTCAATACCCTCCTGGTCTCCTGTCCTCTTCCACTGACCTTCCCACCATCTAAGGGAGAATTTTCCTTGGCAACATGGCCAGTGTTAGACATAATGGGAGTCTAACAGAAGAGGAGAGAGAGAAGGGGCAGATAGAGTATCTGAAGAAAAAGTGGTTGAAAAATCCCCAAACACGATGAAAAACTTTACACACTCAGGAAGCTCAATAAACTCCAAGTAGGATAAATTCAAAGACATCTACACAGAGACACATTATAATCACGCTACCAAAAAAAAGCCAAGAGACATTCTTAAAAGCAGACAAGAGAAAGGACTCATTGTGCACATGGGACCCTCAATAAGATTAGCAGCTGTCTTATCAGAAACCATGCCGGTCAGAAGGTGCTAGATTACATATTCAAATAATTAAAACAGGGGGAAAAAACTGTCAACCAAGAATTCTATATCTAGCAAAATTATCCTCTAAAAATGGAGAAATTAAGACATTCCCAGATAAGCAAAGATCTAGAGAATTCAATGCTTGTACACCTGCCCTGAGAGGAATGCTAAAAGGGAGGCTCTCTCAGGGAGAAATGAAGGATACTACTAGACAGTAACTCAAATCCATACAAAGACATAAAAAACACCAGTAAAGGTAGCTACAAAATAGAAACATCAGTATTAATGTATTTTTGGTTTATAATTCCTGGGTTTTTCCCTATATGATTAAAAAAGAAACAGCATATATGCTAACAATGTAAATAAGACTTACTGTGATTATTTCACAATAAATAAAACTATCATATGATTATGTTGTACACCTGAACTAATATGTTATTACACCTCAATTTTAAAAACTGCATAAAACAGTATATGTAAATCTATGTTGATAGGACACAATGTATAAAGATTTAATTTGTGACAATAACCTCAAAGGGGGTGCACAATAGTGTGTGTGTGTGTGTGTGTGTGTATCAGAGGTCCTCAAACTTTTTAAACGGGGCCAGTTCACTGTCCCTCAGACATTCCACACATGTGCACTGCGGGCCCAGGACGAGTCAGCTGCTAAGCAGGACAGGCAGCGGCGGCAAAAACACCCGGCAGGCCGGGTAAATGTTTTCGGCGGGCCGCATGTGGCCCGCGGGCCGTAGTTTGAGGACGCCTGGTGTGTGTGTGTATATATATCTTATATAATAAAGATGTAATATGCAAATGGTCATTACGCCATGACGCGTAACGACTGGATCATGGATCAGCAGGAGGGGGGGCAGTGAGCTACAAGGGAGCAGCGGAGAGCTATAAGAGGGGGCAGGACAGCAAGCTATGGCTATGGCGGGGGAGGGGGGGAGCCGGGGGGAGCTACAGGAGGGCAGGGCAGCGGGTGGAGAGCTACTGGGGGCAGCAGCAAGCTACTGGCACACGGATTTGTGCGCAGGGCTACTAGTGTGTGTGTGTGTGTGTGTGTGTGTGTGTATATATATATATATATATATATATATATATATATTACTATATATCTGCAAACTTTTTGCATAAGAAAAACCTATTTAACAGGAAAGAAGACAGTAATGGAGAAATTAAAAACAAAGCAAAATAAAAACATATATAATGTATATAGGTAACAAATAATAGAAGTCTTTCCTTATCAGTAATTGCATTCATGTTGAATGTATTAAATTATCTAAAAGGCAGAGATTAGAGAATGGATTTTTAAAATATCTAACTTTATGATGTGCATAAGAGACTCACTTTAGATTCAAAGACACAAATAGGTTGAAAGTATAAGAATGGGAAAAAATATTCCATGCAAATAGTAACCAAAAGACTGGCAGGGCTGCTATGCTATATTACTATCAGGCAAAACAGACTTTAAGACAAAAAATGTTAGGAGAAAGAAAGGACATTACAGTGATAAAGGGGTCAAGCCATCAAGAAATATCATAATTACAAAGATATATGCATCTAACAACAGAACCCAAAATACATGAAGCAAAAACTGACAGAAGCTACAGTATGGGTGACGACCTTCAGAACATTACAGAGGCCAGGCAAGCCCTAGCCAGTGTGGCTGTGATCAGAGTGTCCGCCCACACACCAAAGGGCTGCAGGCTCGATTCCTGGTCAAGGGCATGTACCTGGGTTGCAGGTTTGATCCCCGGCCCCAGTCAGGCCTCATGCTGGAAGCAACCAATTGGTGTGTCTCTTTCACATCAATGTTTCTCTCTCCTCTCTCTCTCCTCTCTCTCCTCCCTTCCTTCCTTCCACTCTCTCTAAAAAGCAATGGAAAAAATATCCTTGGGTGAGGATTTAAAAAATAATAATAAAGAAGCCAGGCAAGAAAGGCCACACAGTATATGATTCCATGTATATGAAATGTCCAAAATAGGTAAATCCAGAGACAGAAAATAGGTTAGTCCTTAACAAGGGCTAGGGGAAGGGGGGGTAGCTAATGGGCATGGAGTTTCTTCCTGGTGTGATGAACATATTTTGAAATAGGATAGTGGAGATGGCTGCACAACACTGCGAATGTACTAAAACCCAATGAACTGTACACATTAAAGTGGTTACATAGTGAATTTATGCTATGTGAACTTTATTTAAAGTTTTTTAAAAGAAAATAAGGAAGTCCGTTATGTGAAAAGTTTATCAATAGAGATGATGAGAGGACAGAGCAAAAGCATGAAAATGGACCTGAAATGTAGGGGAGATGGGTAACCCCTCCTAACACTGGCTGCTCTGCTCCAGGGCCTGGCACCCCAGCCCCACCTCACCTCCCTGTCTGCAGGACCCAGGCCCACAGGCACCTCCCGGCCCTGCTCCCACCCTGTCCGTTGCCCAATGAGGTACCTCTTTATCCTTCTCCATTTGGCAATTCATTCTTCAACATCCAGCTTCTGAGGGCCCTTCTCCAGCCCCCATTCTCCCCCAGGGAGTGGGAGTGTCTATGGCTTGAGCTCCCCCAGCATCACCCAGAGCGAAGGCTGCTAATCCACCACCCACCTGGACTCAGTGACGTTGGCAGGGCTTCCCCTGCACACCTTCTCCACCTGTACATAGACGGAGCAATTGACACGGCTCCAATCAGGGTCACACACTGCCAGGAAGTTGGGCCTCAGCCGGCCAATCATGTACTTGGCCAGGTCTGTTAGGGACTGGCTCACTGCAGCCCCAAACAGGAATGTCCCCAGCACCTTGTAGACAGCGGCCAGGTAATTGTTGAAGTTGGAGCGGGAATAGAGCCGGTCCGTGTACACCAGGTAGGCTTCTCCGGCTGAGACCTGCAAAGGGATCAGCCAAGTCGCCTCAGGGCAGGACCAGAGCAGCAACCGTGGGGTCTCTGCCAGGCACTTACTCAGTCCAACCCACTGAAAGGGATTTAGGATTTCTGGCTTCCCTGAGGCCACTAGGGAACTGGGAATTCTGAAGGGGGTCCTCTTCCCCACAAATACCACCCAGGGCAGATACTTGATGTTCCCTCCCTACCAGCCCCTCCTGCCTTACAAGGATGACGGTGGTAGTGATGGTGACCCCGGCCATGAGCCCATGAGTGATGGTGTCTGGACGGTAGGGGTACCGGATGGAGTCATCACCACAGTAGAACCCTCGCTTGTACGGGGCATTCACGAGCGTCAGGATGGCGAAAGGCAGAGAGGCTGGGAGTGGAGGAGAGAAACCATGTAGTCACATGTTTCTCCCTGAGCACCAGCCCTAGGGCCACACAGACCAGCCTTCTGGAGTTTGCACACCTACCTCAGCCTCCCTCCTGGTTTCCTCACCTTCATGCCCACCATTAAAACCCCCTCAGGGTTCCCCATCATCCTTAGATACTAACAGCAATGTCCTCCCCAGGACCATTCCCATCCCACACCTCCTACCCCTCACCCCACTTCCCTCCATCCTCCTTCCTGCTCCTGGAACAAACCCAGAAAGCACCCACCCCAGGACCTTTGCACACGTCCTTCTCTCTACCCAAAACATCTTTAACACATTGTACGCGAGAAACATATTTATATGTTCTACCAGTGTAGTAGAGCGCGGGACACGTATCAATACGTTTTTTATAGACTAGCGGTAGAATGCAGGTAACGTATAAATACGTAAACGAAAGTTATCATAATTTTACTGAACGTTGCCATTTGCGCAAAAAATTAGCAAAAATGGCCCGCGCCACCTGTTAGCGCGCAATAAAAACTACCCGCAAACAATGTGTTAACTTCCCTCTGGTCTCAGTTCCATTTCCCCCTCCTGACTGTCCCACCCAAGTAATCACTCTCCTAGAAGGAAATTTCAGTTCTTCCTGTTTCTTGTACTTTTATATAATTATATAATCATTGATACTTGATTAACCTCCTCCCCCACCCATCTGTGAGCACCTGAGCGGGAGGCTGTCATGCTCAAGGCTGAGTCCCAGGCATTTAATAAGCATCCTATATAATAAAAGGGTAATATGCAAATTGACCCTAACAGCAGAACAACTGGGAATGACTGGTCACTATGACACACACTGACCACCAGGGGGCAGACGCTCAATGCAGGAGCTGCCCCCTGGTGGTCAGTGCGCTCCCACAGGGGGAGCTCTGCTCAAACACAAACCAGGCTGACGGCTGCCAGCACAGTGGTGGTGGTGGGAGCCTCTCCCGCCTCCTCAGCAGCACTAAGGATGTTTGACTGCAGCTTAGGCCTGCTCCCCGCTGGCAAGTGGATATCCCCTGAGGGCTCCCGGGCTGCCAGAGGGATGTCTGACTGCCCGCTTAGGCCTGATCCCCCAGGGAGCGGGCCTAAGCCAGCAGGTGGACATCCCCCAAGGGGTCCCAGACTGCGAGAGAGCACAAGCCGGGATGAGGAACCCCCCCCACCCCAAGTGCACAAATTTTTGTGCACCGGGCCTCTAGTCTGTTATAAGGGCTTTCTGCTCTTGGATCTGAGATGCCCACAGTTCTCATTTGTCCCTGAGCTGGCCACACAGTGACCAAGACAGACCAGACCTGGGAGCTCAGTCCAAAGACACATTCAGGAGGCACAGACAAAACCAAATTATGAAAGGGTAAGTCACCCAGGCACTGGGGCCCTGCTGAGCCGGAACCCTTCCCCCTTCCCATGAAGGGCTCCCTGCTCTATGGAGCCGGTGCAGAGACAAACTCCAGCAGCGTGTCCTTTGCCCCTGGCAGGGCAGGTGACAAGTGTAAAAGGGTGTGTCTTCTGGGGACAGTAGAGCCAACTTCTCCCAACAGGCCAAATCCCAGGGTCCCAGGGACCCTTTAGTGATGGTATTGAGCACCTCGGATGCCGAGCCTGGGGAAAGACGCCGCGAGGAAAACAGAGGTCAGCCTCAGGGAGCTGAGAGGGGTTAGAAATGAAGAGTAAGTAAATGTGACTGGAACCAGAGAGGCGGCTGCAGGTTTCAGCAGGGATTGCAGAGTAGGTCCCAGAGGAGGTGGCTTGGAGGAGATGAGGAAGTTCAGGGGACATCTGGGGAAGAGTGCCGGGCCCAGGGAACAGCCAGCGCAAAGCTCTGCAGGTGCCACCATGCCTGGGAGTTGGAGCCCTGGGAAGGACTGTGTTGGGGGTTGGAGGATGGAGGACATCCTAAGAATGTGAACCTTGCTGTGAGGCGGGAGGCACAGGAGGGTTCGGAGAGAGGAATGGAGCCTGTTTTCATAGGGTCCCTCTGGCCGCTGTGAGTGAGGGCAGGGGTGGGGTAGAGAGGCCGAGGAGGAGTCTCTCAAAGTTGTGTGTGCGCGTGCGCGCTGGTGTGGGGGCAGAGCTAGAAGATGCTGAGAAATCAAGTCACCCAGGGCGCCTGGGAGGAGAAGTCCGCCTCCCAGCTGCGGCCCCAGCCCCTTCCACTGGACATTCCCACACCCATCAGAACCAGAGCTCGGCTTTCCTGGGGTTTGGGAAGCAGAGCTCTGGGCACTGAAATCAGGGCCTCCCTCCTCGCAGCTTCCATGACCTCCAGTGTTTGGTCGGGGCCTTTGTAAGCATTTGAAACTGAACTGTTTATGTGCTGAATCTTCTAGAATGGGGGTACAGTCTGCCTGAGCCGACTTCTGGCACACAGCACCAGCACACGACCTAATCTTAGCTCTGCCCCGCTGTGACCTCTCCGGAATGAAATTGGGGATTATAAGAGCTCATCCTCCATGGGCTGTTTGGGGAAAAAGGGTTATTTGCATGTTGCTTAGCGCCTGGCATACAGTAAGTTCCACACAGATATTTAAATAAATAACAGACGCTCGGGATATGGTGACCAGGGGACTTCCTGCTGCCACCTGGCACACCCCAAAAAGGGTCTCATCTGGGACATGGGAGAAGGGCCTGGCCTCTGCCATCCATCAGGACTGAATCCTCCATCCCCCGGTCTCTCGGTCCCCTCCAGACCCCCAGACCCCTCCTGCAGGTTTAAGGAGCAAGAACCAGATTGGGGAGCAGGGGGCGAATTCTGCCGGAGGGGCCCCTCCCCCCGCCGCGGGTAGAATTCCGGGACCATTGCCCTCACAGCCCCAGAGCAAACACTCAGCCTTTGTTTCCGGGACCCTGGGAAAGGGGAGGGGAGGGGAAGAGAGGGGCCTCGGGCTGCCCCCTCCGCCAGCCTGGCCCGAAAAGCCGCCCAACAGGTTTGGTGGCGCCTCCCCGAAGCCCGCGGTACATCCGCAGCCCGGGGCCCGGCTTTCTCTCCGTTGTCTCCCGGGCTGCGCTGGTTCAAGTCCCACCAACGCGCTGCGCGTCCCGGGCCAGGCTTCGGCCTCGCGGCCCCTGGGAAAGCCGGCCCTGAGCCGGGTGTAAAGGTCCTCCGGACCCGCACCGCGGCGCACCCCCGCCCCGCCCCGCCCCTGCCGGGCCGCCGCCCGGGTGAATCACCGCCCGGTCGGGCGCGGCGGGAAAGGGGGGCGCGGCGAGAGCGGGGCGCTCACGGCCCCTGCGGTGACTTCCTGCTACCCGGGCAGGGTTGCCAACCCCGGTGCCGTTCATGACCTCCTCATGAACCCGGCGCGAGCGGGTAAACTGAGGCTGGGAGGGCGCCGGCCCGGGAAGGTGCGCCGAGGGTCCTCCCCGAATCACCCCTCTAGAGATGGCCTCGGAGAAGCGGGGGCGCCGCCGGCCCTCGCGCGCCCAGCAACCCTCGCCAGGGGCCGGGGCGGGGGCGGGCACCACCTGGGAGGGACCCCCCACACGCCCGGGTTCCCGCGGCTCTTACCGACTAGCACGCACAGCACGTCGAGCAGCACGAAGACCCACCTCCGCTCCATGCCACCCCCGCCCCGGGCAGCGCCCACGACCCGCGACGCCAGCCCCAGCGCGTCCCGTCCCGTCCCGGGCGGCCGCAGGGTCACATGGCCGCAGAGCCTGGCCCTGCAGGGGAGGGGAGGGGAGCGACAGGCGGGGCGGGGCAGCCCCAGGGGAGGGGGCGGACTCTGCCCCCGCCCCGCCCGCGGCGCACAGGAAGGAGCGGGGTGGAGAGTGCGTGCGCGCCGCGGCTGGGGACCCGGGTACGGGGAGGAGGAGGGGTATCTGAGCTGGTGGGGGTCGTCAGTGCCCAGCTACCCCTCCCCCAGGCCGGAAGGCTCGGGCTCAGGAACAGTGAGCCCCGGTCACCGGAATGTCAGTGCCCGGTCACACGTATTGGGCCGGTTGAGACCGGGTGGGGTGAGGTGACAAGAAAAGAATGGGTGCCCTAGCCAGTTTGGCCAGTTGGGGTCCTGGGTTTGATTCTGGTCAGGGTCACATGCCAGGGTTGTGGACTCCATCCCCAGTGGCGGGCCTGCAGAAGGCGGCCAGTCCATGATTCTCTCTCATCATTGATATTTCTAGCTCTCCCTCCCTCTCTGAAATCAATAAAAATATATTGAGAGAGAGAGAGAGAGAGAGAGAGAGAGAGAGAGAGAGAGAGAGAGAGAGAGAGAGAAAAGAAAGAAAGGAAAAGGAGTGAGGGGTGAATGCGCAGCCCCAGCAGAACTGTGAGGTGTGGGGGAGCTGAGCTCGGGCTCCACAGGGTAAGTCCCCCAACCTCCTCTCTGAGCCTCCTCTCCTCATTGGAGACGGCACTCATTCCGTGTACATTTCAATATCCTGAGTCAGTAAGTGCCTAAAACTTAAATTGATGGTGTCTTGAGGCTTAGTTGCAGAGGTTCTGTAGACCTGCCACCCCTGGCAGTTAGACGATCAGATTCCTCAACACCCCCTCTGGAGACGGTGCCAGGCAGTTTGCTGTGTAGCACTTACTGTCCCCATGTGACAGAGGAGCGGAGGGGCCAGGAGGTAGGCACTCCTCACACCTAGAGTTTGTTTCTGTGCCCTGCACCACACAGGTCCAGGGAGCGCGAGTTGGGAGGCACCGAGGGGTCAAAACCACCCACGCCATGGAAACAGACTCAAGGGGCCCATTACGTCCAGTCTGCGCCCACACACCCACACTGGATCCTTTTGGCTGGAATCACCTGAGGCCTAGGGGAGTGTGACCACCTGGAGAGACCTGCCTAGATCTGGCAGAAGGCTTGATAGGCAAAGGTTCTGTCACCCTCAAGGTCACACAGTGAGAAAGGAGCTGGGATTGGAACCCAGGTCGCCTGGCCCCAAGGTTCCATGTCCTTGACCTCTAAACAACCTTCACCACCCGCTACCTCCAATGATCCTGCAGAGGATGTTCTCGGCCCCTTTTAGAGATGAAGGGAGTCAGGTCCAGAGAGGGGCAGCCCCTAGCTTTTGAATACAGAGACCCCTGACCCTGCTTCCTGGAGGGATCAACAGAACTCTGCATCTTGGCCACTGTCCAGACGGCCGGCTTGGGGGATAAGTGTCTCTAAGTCAAGTCCCCTGCGCCCCAATCAACTGTCCTTAAGCAGCGGCGGCGGGAGACACTCCCCGACCACCTCCTCCCCCCAATACACACACACACAAACACACTCAAAACAACTCAGCCCACCCAGGACATGACAAGGTCCTGCCTGGAAACTTGTGGACCTGAATTTTCCGTCTGCGGTGGCGACTGTGTGGAAAGGACGTCACTAGCAACCAACCCCCTTCCCAACCGCAAGCCCCGAGGAGTCCAAGTCGCCCGCGACTTCCTCCAAGGCGGCTGGGAGCATCAGATTGAATTGCCGGAGGGTTTTCCTAGAGTCTGGGTAAGGGGTGAGGCTATCGCAAGGGCCCAGTCTCAGGCTCCGCTGGATCCCGCGGGTGCTCCTTCCCTCCCCGCGTGACTCCCGCCCCACGCAGGCTCGGGTTCTGCTCATTGGCTTCTACTCCTGCCACTCACAGGGTGGGGCGGGCCCCAGGGAAAGGCTGGTCCCAGGCTCTAACTCCCGTCATTCATTCGTTCATTCATGCAGCACGAACCGAATTAGGGTTGTGAGAATTACCTGATAAAATACTGAAGAGCCGGGCAAAAATGTTACATAAATGTTAGCTTTATTGCACTTTTTTTCACTTTAACCTCGCTTCAATCGAGTGACTACCGCTCTCGGTGTTGATAGCCCATCAACACTTCCAGCATTGTATTGGAATCAAGGAAATGGAGGGGTTCTTTACTGAGCACCTACTGTGTGCTGGGAGGGGGATGGGGGGAGCTGTGAGACACTCGCCAAAGTGGGGTATGGTGGTGGAGACAGCCTGGGTGGGTGCTACAAGGTCAGATCCAGGAGGGTCTCCAGGGAGGCTCCGGCAGGCACACACTGTGGGTAGGAAGGGGCTTGGCCTGATCCCTGGTGAGGCAGGAGTGGCTGGAGCAGGGACATGAGGCTGGAGGAGCTGGTTGGTTATCAGCCCCTCCCCACTGACCTCAATCTCATCCTGTTCTTAAAATACCTGGACAAGGTCAGGATTAAAATCTAGCAGGGCAGTAGGAATTAGGATTAGTGTTAAGACTGGGGTCAGGGTTCTACACCTGCTAGCTGGGGTCCCCACTTTAAAAAGCTTTCACTTCTGGCCCTTTACAAAGAAATGGAGCCAGCGAGGGCTGCTCAGGGTGCAGAGCCTGGGCTGGCAGCCAGGACTGGACGGCTTCTCCCTTACCTGCAGATGGCAAAGTTGGAAGGAGACTGATATACCTGGTGGAACCATGCCCACCTGCCCTATAGATCCCACCAACTCCGTGTTGCCTGGTCACTCCCAAGCTGTGACACTCAGGGCTCAGAAGGTTATGTTCTCATCTCCCTGTTGCCTCAATGCAACCTGAGGGACTCCAAGTTTGTTTTCAAAAGTATTGTGGAGATTAAGGGAAAGAAGCCTGGCAAGTGGGTAGAAAGGTGCTGGGCACACCATAGGTGCCACCCGAGTGCAGCCACCACACTCACCTCTTTCTATACTTCTCTTGGGGATCAAAGAGCATACTGGGAGTTGGCTCCCAGACTGGGGGCTCTAAGCCCTGCTACAGGTCCTGCAGTCTAGGCTGTACCTCTGGGGGGCTGTGATGGTATGTTTGGACAGGAAAGGCAAAGTGGGTGGATGGTCCTCAGTCTCATTAAAAAGCACTATTGGAAGGTTAACTGAATAGGTACTTGGGGTCACCTGTAAGTCAGAATCCCAGACCTGCTCCCAGGACTTTACTGTCCCTGAGCGCCACACAACCTGAGTCTAGGAAACCTTCCCAGCTTCAGCATCGAGTCAGCATCCTGGGAACCCTCAGTCCTGCATGAAGTTACTTCCTGCAGTTGACCCCTACTGCAGTGCCCTCCCTGCCCTATACCCTAGCCTGCCACCTCCTTCCTCTAAGCTCTGGCATCATCTCAGCTTGTGTGTCTGTTTATCCACTTATCAGAGTCAGAATCCTTCCCGGAGTCAGCTCCAGGAGGGCAGGGTCCCCCAAAGAGTAGATGATCAATCAAAGCTTCCTGAATGAAAGTGACCTAGTGCCCTGGTCGGCAAACTGCAGCTCGCAAGCCACATGCGGCTCTTTGACCCCTTGAGTGTGGCTCTTCCTAAGCCTTAGGAGTACCCTAATTAAGTTAATAACAATGTACCTACCTATATAGTTTAAGTTAAAAAAATTTGGCTCTCAAAAGAAATTTCAATCATTGACTGTTGATATTTGGCTCTGCTGACTAACGAGTTTGCCGACCACTGACCTAGTGAATAATGAATGACTTAGTCGTGGGGCGGGAGATCACCAGAGTGACTGCTACTCCAGGGGCTCAGTGCGGGCTGGTCTTTCACAGGATGAGGCCGTGAGCAGCTTATTCCTTCTACAAGAGCTTATTTCTTCATGGAGAGTCCAGCCCCTGAGCCACCCCCATCCCACCCTACCTTCCCTGACTACTGCTCAGGGTTGGGGGGTGGTATTTGGGGGTATTTTACTCTGAGCCCCCACCACTGGGTCCCAAGATCAGGAGAGGCTGCAGACGCCAGTCTACCTACAGGGTAGTGCGGCAGGAGCTGCCTCTGCTGGGCAGTGAGGCAAAGCACAGCCTGGCCCTGACCTCCAGACACTCAAGGGGCACTAATCTGCCAGGCACCCACTGCCTCAATGTGCTCCTTGTAGCAGCCCAGGAGTAGTGTTACCACAGGGCATTATAAGAGGTTAAAGAATGTAGAGGAAAAGATGAAAAACGTGGAGAATTTCAGCAGAGAAATAGAAAACCAACAGTGGGGATTTGGGATAGGCTGCATGGCAGTATGAAACTGCAGAAAAGAGGACCAGGGACCTCAAAGACCAGTCCATAGCAACTATCCAAATAGAAACCCAGAAAGAAAAAAACAGACAGAAATCTGTGGGACAATACCCAGTGCTCTCCTGTGTGACCAGAGGCCCAAATGGAGAAGAGAGAACATAGCAGCAGACATAGTGGAAGAAACAGCCAAGATGCCCAACACCAACGCAAGGCAGTCCTTAGGTCCAACCAGTTCCGTGTGGAGACCTACCCCTGGCACATCACACTCAAATGCTGGCGTCCAGACAAAAAGGAAATCACAAAGAAAAAAGGTGGGTCTCATGTAGGAAAACACAAGAATGACCTATTTCTCATTAGAAACCGAGAGTCAAGGGAACATCTTTAAAATGCTGATCCTGCCAAAAAAGAAAAATAAGTTTCAGAAATGAAGGAGGAATCCTCAAGGATCTTCCTGGCCAGTGAGAGGGAGTGAAGAGCATTTGTGGGACGCAATGAGAGCCCATCTCTAAAAGCTACAGAAAACGATGAGCTACCACCACACTCCTATCCGAACAGCTGAAATCCAAACCGAGGCCAGCACACGTGCCGCCAGACCCTGGAGCTGCTGCAGGAACTCTCCTTGATCACGGATGCAAGTGCAAATGGTGCAGCCCCTTTGGAAGACGGTTTGGTGGTTTCTGACTACACTAAACACACTCTTACCGTAAGATTCAGCTCCCCAGTATTTACCCAAATGAGTTGAAAGCTTGTGTCCTAACAAATATCTGCACAAGTGTTCACAGAAGCTTCACCCATGAAGTGCCCAAGCCTGAAAGCAAGCGAGACTTCCTTCAGGAGGTGAGTGGATGAAAAACTGTGGCCCATCTGACAATGAAATGCTCCTCAGCAATAAGAAGAAAGAGCTATGCAGCCACGAGAAGGCACGGGGGAACCTCAGGTGCACATCACCAAGTGAAAGAAACCGGTCTGAAAGGCCATCCCTCAGACTGTTCGATACCAGGGAGAAAACCACCTACATTGTACACCTAAAACTAACACAAAATAATATTAAATGTGAGCTGTAACTGAAAAATAAATAAATAAAACAGAGAGAAAGATACAAATCTTAGCTGTCCAAGTAAATACACACACAAAGGTAAGGAAGGACAAGGGCAATTTTCTCGAAAGCAGAGCAAACCAGAATATAGTCGAGCAATACCTCTCAAATACTTCAAGAAAACGAGAACAGACTAAAACGCCAGTGAAAACCACTCTCAAGGCCGTGGCATCCCACCCCCAAGTGCACCTGCTCCCAGCGCTGGCACAACCAGCTCTGAAGGACTAAGCCCGGAATTCCAGGAGACACCAGACTTTCCCACACACCTGGGCACAACCAGCCCCTGAACCATCTGCCCTTGGTCTTCATACCCTGGGTCCAGGCTGGCCCTCCTGCATGTCCCCTGCCCTTGCCCAGCCTGTTTGCACTTCCTCTGGGGAAGCTCTGAAAACCACATCCACCCAGCCCCTGCTTACCCCTCCAGGGGATTCAGGACAAAACCTGCTGGCTGGCCCACCCAGACCCTCAGCTGCTCTCCCTCCTTCCCGGCCTGCACCTCCTTCCTGGGACTCCGGCCCCTGCCTACCTCTGCGCTGGTGGTGACCTCAGCCTGGCTCACACCAGCCCTCACCAAAATAGGATGATTCTCCTTCAGCTTCCAGATTAAATGTCCCCTCCGTTTAACTGACCACCTCCCTCACATCGGTCGTCCTGACATGGACCATGACCCCATCCTTCAACGATGCCTGGTACATAGCCCACCAAGTGACTACGTGGCGAGGATGACCTGTGGTTCCCCGACACCTCCACACACCCTGCCCAGTCCACCACGAGGCACCCACAGGGCTTCAAATAAAGTTTAATAAATAAAACAGCAAGAGATTCAAGGCAGTTTTCACTTCACAGTGTGGTCCTTGGTGGGGTGACAGGGAAGGATGAGTCCAACTCTGCAGATGGGCTCGAGCCAAAACTCTCCTGATGACACCCAATGGCTGGGGGTGCTGCCCTGCCCCCCTGGAGGACCCCACTCTAATTTGTAAACAGAAACATAAATAAAAAGAGGGAGGTGGGGGAAGAAACGGACCAGGACCCCAAACCATCTTGCTGGGGAGCTTCAACAGAAATACGACCCGCAGGGTCAGAAAAACAGGCTGGAGCCTGGCCCCTCGGCATTGCAGGCAACAGGGGGTGTCAGTCACCTGTCTCTTGGAACCCAGGAGGCTGCTGAGAAGCCCTGGGGCAGATAGAGAGGAGGCAGGTGGGCGTAAAGTGCGGCTTTTCCTGAAGTGGACAGAGTGGGTGAGGTCAAAGGTGGGGCGGGGCCAACGTCGAGGTATATGGCTCTGTGCCCCGTGGGGTTTGGCACCGAGTAGCAGCTGCTCACCGACCCCTGGGCTGGGGCAGCCCATGGCCCTGCCAGGTGCAGTGAGACAGAGCCAAGCAGGTGCTGGGGGGCTCCCTGGGCAGAGGCTGCTGGTGGGGGGCGGCGTCCTGCCCTGTCTCCCCATCTCCCTGACGGGCAGGGATGCCTTTCTTTGCCTCTGCTGGCCAGAGGGGGCCGGGCCCTTTGCACCCAGCTGCCCAACAGGTCCCACGGAGGCAGCCTGCAGCCAGGCAGTGGTGCCAGGTGCTGAGGGTGCCGGGCTGTGTGGCGAGGGGCAGGGCTGATAGCCCTGCCACTGCTCACCCTAGTCCTTGAAGTGTTCTGAAGCAGAGATGGTGTTACCCGAGGCCCACGAGGAAAAGGGTCGGGAAGACTGACAGAGGCAGGACCCACAGTGGCCCCAAGTCCAGTCTAGGCCACACACACCCGCCTGTGGCCAGGAATCAACAGGTCATCACGTTACAGCTGCAGTGAGGGGAGAGACCGAGAGAGAGACCAAGAAAGGGTCAGTCCAGTCCCACAGACTGCCCGGCTTGAGTGCTGTGGGCCAAACACATGGCTCCCAACCTTGCCCCCGCCAGCAGACCGTGTTTTCACGTGTGCCTGGGAGAGCTGGTGGTTGGGGCAGGGGTGGGAGGAGACTAGCACTGGCCCCATTTGTACCTTTTTGGGTTTTGAACCATATGAATGTTATTACCTAGTCAAAAAAATAAATTAAGCCAAATTAAAAGAAGAGAATAAAACTAAAGAAACAAACAGCCTGCTCCATGGGCCACACCACCCTCGGGCCCTCAGGGCAGACCCCTCCCGCTCTCCTCAGTTCAGCCTGAGGCTGGGGGCCCCTAGGGTGGGGGCTGCACTCACTGTGACAGGGGCTCCGAGTGCAGCCCAGGGCCCGGGCACGCTGGGTGGGCAGCCAGGAAAGGATTCACATCCCCAATGCCAATGAGTCCAAACTCAGTGACCGACAAGGCCACCTGTGCAGGGGCCACAGCTTCCTCGGGCTCTCCATCCATATCCACGTGGCTGGAGACCTGGGGCAGCTCCTCAGGAAGGGCCCCTGGCAGGGCCAAGTCCACAGCCAGTCTCGAGCTGGTGCTGGGCTCTGGAGCAGCTGCAGCGGAGGGGCAGAAGGCCGGCTCGGCCAGGGCTGGGGGCTGCTGGGGCACGGGCACAGTTGGCGGGGTGTCCAGTTGCTGGAACAGACAGGGCTCTTGCTCCAAGGATGGGAGGCTGTTGGAGCCTCCCTCGGGTTCACCAACACTGCCAGTCACACCGTCCATGCTCAGCGGCTCTAGAAGGGGAGAACGCGGCTGAGGCCAGGCCCCAGCAGCAGCCACGCCCAGCCCTCCCAGGATCCACAACCATCCTGGCTAAGGTGCATTAGCTTAAAAATCACACTTTTTGTCCTCAGGATGCAACCTATGCAGGCTCCAGCCAAATCTCTGTCAGGGAAAGCAAAGCCTATAGACCCCTCGTCACTGATGTTTTCATACAAATACATGAAATACACATGACCACAAAAGAAACCAGTTATACTAAACTGTACCCAGGCTAAGGCCCTGCCTTGGAAGGTTGTGACTCCTGTTTTTCAAACAGAACAGAACACAACAGATTCAAAACAACAACACAATGCTTGAGCGCACTGCCAAGTCAAGGTAAACGTGCCATTTGTGGAGCTCTGTACACAGGGGCATGACAGGCAACGCCGGGATGGGTAGGTGTGGATGCCCTCCCAGGCAAATATGAGACCAACCAGATTCTGGAACCAGGGGACAAGCTAAACCCGAGCCCAGTAGACTCAGAGAGCAAAGGTCTTTGTCCTTCCCTCTGTGTTCGCCTCCAGAAACTGAAGTTACTAACTGGGCCTTGTCTTGCTCTGGTGTAGCCCTGGGCCCAGGATGCTGGGGAGGGCTCAGATATCCCAAACCTCCCACATGCGGCTCCGGCTAAGCAACCCTCACCTGAGGCCCAGAAAGAAGCCCCCCAACCTAGGCTTGGGGAGAAGCCCCCTGGCCTTGGACTCAGGGAGGAATCTCCAACCTGGAACCCAGAAAGGAGCCCCCTTAATCTGGGGCTCAGAAAGAAGCCCCCCAACCACCTGGCACCCAGAGAGGAGCCCTCTCCACTCAGGGCCCAGAGAGAACCACCCCCAACCTGGGACCAGGAAAGGAGCCCCCTAACCAGGGGCCCAGAGAAGAGCTCCCCTCCACACCACCAATCACTTGGTGTCCAGAGAACAGCCCCCAACCTGGGACCAGAAATTCACCTCCTCGACCACCCAGGGCCCGGAGAAAAGCCCCCCAACATGAGGCCAAGAAGGAGCCCACCCAACCACCAGAGACCCAGAGAGGAGCCCTCTGCCCTGGAGTCGGAAAGGAGCCCCCTCAACCATCGGGGATGCAGAGAGAAGTCCTCGAACTTGGGGCCCAGAAAGGAGAGCCCCAACCACCTAGACCAGAGAGGAGTCCCTGCAACTACCTGGGATCCAGAGAGGAGTCCCACACCCAAGCCCCAGAGAGGGGCCCAACCACCTGGGGCCGAGAGGAGACCCTACTTTGGGCTGCAGGGCACACAGTTCTCCATATGGGAAACCAACAAGCTCCATGGGGTGAAGTGACAATGGTTCCCAGACACCTGCTCCTTAGTGTTCACTGGCACAGGTCAGAGTGCATTACAAGGGTGCTCCCCCAAAGATAGGGGCCCACCCACATTCTTACCTATGTGCATCCGTGCCAGAGGGTCCTGCTCAGGGCTTAGGCCATCAGCGGCAGGGGGCGGGGGCGGTGAGGAGCGGGGACGGGCGAGGCCATCGGGGTCACTGCCATCTAGGTCCTGGTCTGTATCCCTGTGGAAAGATGGCACCATGGGGGACTGCAGAGAGACAGCTGCCGCAGGCAGGAGGTGCTCCCTGGGACTCCCAGTCGTCCCCTGACCCCAGGTCCTGCTGGAAGCCCGCCACACATACGTAGTTCCTGATGGGCCGTACTTCCTCCGGCCCAGCCGCGTCTGCTGGGAGAAGTAGTCATAGCGCTCAGACTTCTTCCACAGGTAGTAGTATTCCACACACTCGCCCACAGACCTTGTACGCACCTGAGGGACAGTGTGGTGTCATCTGGGCCCCACACGCCCAGCTCCCTCTGCTTCCCAGGGCAGCGGGAACAGGTTACAGCAACCAGCGCTCTCAAAGACCTGCCACAATCCCAGTGTCCTCTGAACCCACCTCCAGCCCCCATCTAAGGCTCACAGGCCACCCCCATGTCCAGGGCTCATCCTTTTGCCTTGAACATGGCACCTCAATCTCAGAGAGCTCCACCACCTGCTGACATGGGGCCCCATTCTTCTTCACTCTGGGTCCATGTGTCCAGTGTCCACTTCCCTTTCCTCAGACCTCGCCAAGCTCCCAAAAGTGTCCACCTCATCCTCTGCTCATCGCAGGCCCAGCAGAGGGGGAAAACGAGCCCTCTTGCAGACACCAGGGACAGAGACTCTACCCAGAGAGGACAACATGCAACCTGGCCAAGCTTGCTTTTCCCACGGAACATCACTAACACCCCAAGGGAGAGCTGTCCATGAGCACATGAAATGCCATTAAAGGACACATTGGGGCTTCATGAACCCTGACTCAGGTCACATACACAGCACCCTAGAAAGATAAGGGACAGTCCAGCATGGAGCTGGATGCCACCTGGCAACACCTCTTGGGGCATCTTCACTTTGGATGAGCCCCACAGCAAGGCCAGGGCTGTTACAGGTCCATGTGAGAAACCTGCTGGTCCCCAGGATGAGGGACAGACAACAGAGCCCAGGGAGGCCTGGGAACCAGGGGGGCAGGCAGGGCACACACGAGCTGTCCCCTCTTCCCAATGACACCCTTGTGCATCAGGGGGTCTGACTGATAGTGAGAGCGTCACAGCCTCCGTGGGGCCAGGGTAGGTGCAAACTTACAGCGTGTGTGGTAACCATGGGGCAGGCATGTGGAAGGGATGCATGTGAAGTTTTGCTCACAGAAGCAGCCTCGGCTGCAGTGGAAATGCAGGGAACAGCGCACTGCATCAGGCCACCCGGGAGCTGATCTGCCTAGAGAATCTAGTGCCACCTGAAACGACACTGGGCAGGCCAGCTGAGCATCCTCTGTCCCAGCACAGATTCTCACTTACTCCAACCTCCCAAGAGAGGACAGAGGCCCTGAATGTGAGCTAGGTTTCAGCCAGGCCCTGCTTCTCTACAAGCTGTGTCACCATGAATAGGAGGAAGGGGCCAGGGCTGCTTCCCTAGAAGGGCAAAAACCCACTAGGAGATGGGTGAGGAGAGAGAGCCATGGCAAGACGAAGGGAAATTCAGACTCTGAGACAGTGTCATAGGAGCATATCCAGCCAGAATCCAGGGAGAGGGACCTACGTCTAGGAAGGACATGGGGACTCAGGTCCAGAGGAAGAAAAGTAGCTCAGGTCTAAGAAAAACAGGTGGACTCAGGTCCAGGGGAGGGCAGGGCCTTGGTACTCAGCAGCCCCTCTGGTCATGAGCATTTGTCACAGGTGGCAGGAGAGACCTATTTCCTTGGTTCGATCAAACTAAGAGACCCTTGTTCCCCATGGCTGGAGGCTGAGAGTGGGGTCCAGGCTGGCAGTCAGTACAGCAGCACAGGCTCTGGCACAGGTGGTGGAGCTCTCTGAGACTGAGATGCCATCATGTTCATTTCCCATATTGGAGCCTTCTTGGGGGAAGGAAGTGGCTTCACAGAGGAGACTAGAATGTGATAGCAGGCATGCAGGAGTGAGAGGCGGAAACCAGGGCTTTCGCCCTCAGCTCAGAGGACCCTCAAGAGCCTGGGAAAGGGAGTCACAAACTCATGTTGTGGGGTGTAGGGTGCCATGTGCCCAGGCTCCCAGGTTCTTTCCAGCCCCAAGGAGGCCATGGTGCAGCCCAATGGGAGCAGGATGGGCTGTGTCCTCACCTTGTTGGCCTGGATTAGGTGGAAGTTTTTCCCGTGCACTCGGAAGCCATGCTCAAAGTTCCTACACTCCTCCTCACTCCAAGCACAGAGCCCATCTACAACCAGGAGGAGGCAGTGGCGTCAGCAGTGCCCAGACCAGGACAGCTAGTAAGGGTGGGGGTGGGCAGGCAGGGCACTCACCTCGGATCACCTTCACGTTAAACCGCAGTCTCCGCAGAGCCTCCTCCACATTGAAACTGCATTTCACCAGCTCATACAGCGCCTGGGGGAGGGAAAGCCTCTTCCCACCTGCTCACCAGCAGCAATAGCAGGAGCATTTACCCCACCATTGGGCAGGCGTATGGGGCATTCACACCACCATCAGGGCGAGGATATTGGGGGTTTACCCTACCATCAGAGAGGGGAAATAGGCGCAATCATGCCACCATCAGGGCAGGCATATAGGGGTACACACACCATTTGGACAGGGGTATTGGGGGGGATTTAATTCATCATCCGGGTGGATATATGGGGGTGTTCACCCCACCATCAGCTGTGGATATGGGGAATGTTTATAACACCATCAGGGAAGTGATATGGGGGTGTTCAAATGACAATCAAGATGGATATACTGGGGGCATTTACCCCATCAGGGCAGGGATGTTTGAGGCATATATATACATTATCATCAGGGCAGGGATATCCAGGGTGTTCACACCATCAGGGTAGGGATAATGAGGGCATTCACATCACTATTGGGGTGGGGCTATCAGAGCGCATTTACCTCACCATCAAGGTGGGAACATGCAGGGGCATTTACACCACCATCGGGACAAGGATATGGGGGTGTTCACACCACCCAGCATGCTGCCTACCTGCTCACTATCTTTCACCATTTCTCCCTCTGGGAGCTGAGACCCGGTCGTCTCGTGCCATCTCCGCTTGACTGCCCGGTACAGGAACTCCTCCACCTCCCTCTCAGGGAGGATGTTGGGGTCCCACAACAGCTGGTCATCATTCTCATAAACTGTTTAGAGGGAGTGCCAGGGTCAGCAGTGGGCACAAATTCCATTCCCACACCTCGAAGAATACACACTCCCTCCCCACAAGCATCCACCAGGTTGGCTATCACAGCACCTCCAAAGGACAGTTGCTAATTTGTATGTCCAGTTCTTGTGACCTGGACCCATCCCTTACACACCCCTCCAGGCCAGAGGTGGTCAGGGCAACAACAAAAGGCGGAAGCTGTGGGAGGCCAACTGGGTGCTTCCCAGCTGGGAAATCCAAGGCAGCCTCCTGGAGGAGGCAGGAGGTAGTCTGCGTTGAGGAAGGGGGGACTTCTGAGCATGGCCTTAGGGGAGGGAGTTGTAGGTAACGGGTCAGGGAGGGTAAAGCCATTTGCACAGTTTGCAAGTCTTGAACAACAGAGTCCCAAGGAAGCTGAGTGAAGAGCCTGGACTCAATGGCAGTGAGAACTTGGGTCCCAGTGGTCTCGCTTAGGTAACAACCACTCTAACCACTGCATCCTACAAGCCACATTTGAGTGTACTTTGCCCAGGGAAGGGGAGTCCTGTCCCATGCAGGCAGTGGGTGGCAACCTCTAGCTGGGGAGGGACCTGATGGGGAGACAGAAGGGAGATCGCAGGGCTGAGTTTGGAAAGACCCCAGTGCCAGGACCTCTTAACTAACTAGGGAAGAGTCACAGGGACCACAAACCGAACTGCCCAGTACAGTGGCCAGAAAGTGAAAAACACACGAAGAAAAACGGCTCCTGTGTTGGAATGTCTCTGGTTGGGAAATTGACTGGGAACCAACAACTCCTGGGTTGGTGCCGAGAACCACAGAAGCTGTGACCTCTCCCAATGCAAGAGCCCCCCCCATATTGATTCAAGTCCCAGCCTGGCCAGGGTGGTTGGCCCAAGAGGACCACAGGCCACTCTCTGGAAAAAATAAAATAACATCATCCTGCAACCTTAGCCCTCCACCTGCCTAGCATGTGAATGTGAGAGAAAATCCATGGAACAGAGGTAAATCCACAAATGGCTGGAAATCAGAGTTAGCAGACAGGACTTTAAAGAATCACATGGACTTTCCAGGACTGGAAAATACAACCTGTGAGTTTATGAACCCACTGAACAGCTCTAATAGCAGCCTGGACATAGCAGAAGACATGATCAATGAAATTGAAAGAATTCAATAAAAATTAAAGAGAAGGAATTAAACTGAATTTGAAGAGAACATAGCTAGGGGATGAAGAAGACAGTCATATGTATAATTGAGTCAAGGAAGACATGAACAAAAAATGGGACAGAAGAAAATCTGAAGAGACAATGGCCAAGAATTCTCCGAAACTGATGCATGACACCAAACTCCAGATCACAAAAAGTAGGGACAAAGTCAAAGAAAACTACATCTGGGCTCATCTGGTAAAAATGCTAGAAGACAAAAGAAAATGTAATCAACCTGCAGGGAAACAATGAACAAGGTTTCCAACACAAACAGTAAGACAGACACCTGACTTACACAGAAACAACAGATACCAAAGACAATGGAACAAAACGGTTCACACGTGAGAAGAAAAAGCGGGCAAATCTAGAAAACTAGACCCATGACAATACCTTCAAAAGTGAAATCAGCCCACCAGTGTGGCTCAGTGGTTGAGCATTGACCCATGAACCAAGAGGTCACTGCACTGGTTCAATTCCCGGTCAGAGCACATGCCCAACTTGCGGGCTCCATCCCCAGTAGGGGGCGTGCAGGAAGCAGTCAATTGATGTTTCTCTCTCATCGATGTTTCTATCGCTATGTCCCTCTCCCTTCCTTTCTCTTTAAAATCAAAAAAAACATATTTTTTAAAAAGTGAAATCAAGATTAAGATTTCCCAGATAAACAAAAGCTGAAAGAATTCATCAACATCACGAGAAATATTAAAGAGCAAGTTCTTAGGTAGAAGGAAATTATCCCAAATGGAAGCTGGAGGGAGTGAACAGTACTACCCAGGCAGTTGTGAATAACCATAGGGAACATCCGGCATGAAAACCACAACGTTGTCACTGTGGCACATGCAGTTCCTGCAGAAGCAGCAGCAGCACAACAGGCAGGACAGATGAGGGGATTAGAATGCACTTATTTAAAGCAGCAATTCTCAACCTTTCTCATCTCATGGCGCACATAAACTAGTTACTAAAATTCGACAGCACACCAAAAAATGTATGTTTTGCCAATCTGACTAAAATATGCTGTATAATTTTGATTTATTCACACCAGACAGCTATTATTTGTGTTGACTGTTGCCATTTTTTTTATTTGACAATCTAAGGGAAATGAGATCAGTGCCCCTGACTAAATAGTCAAGTACTGATGTTTTAAAAATTCTTGCAGCATAAGGTAGGATAATTACTGAAAAGGTAATATAAAAATGAAAACATCATATCAAAGAGGAGGAAAAAATAGAATAAAACTACTTGACTAATCAAAAAGAAGACAAATAAAATAAAAGGGGGGGGGGGACAGATAGAACAAAGGAAAAACACACAGAAGATGGTAACTTATCCCAATTATTTTCACAATTGCATGAAAAATAGTCCAAAATGTAACTGGACTACATACTCTCTATTAAAACGCAAAAGAGAATCAAACTGGATTAAAAAAAATTAGATCCAAAAATATGCCATACACAGAAAATACACTTCAAATATAAAAACAGAAAGCAGCATTTACAAAATAGACTAAATACTGGCCATAAAACAAGGCTCAACTCATTTCAAAGGACTGAAATCACAGAGTATGTTCATTGGACTTCTACTAGAAATCAGTAACAGTAGGATAACTAGGAATTCCCAATGTTTGGAAATGAAACAGAATGCTTCTAAAACACCCCTGAGTGGGAGAAGTTATCACAATGTGAACTACAGAATAACAAACTAAAATGAAATCAACTATGAGGGAAGAAATACAGATAAAAATAAAAATGAATTAAGTAGCCATCAGACAACAGAGAAAAATCCTGGTAAAGGGCAATAAAAGTAACAAACTCCTAATAAGACTGATCAAGAGAGACTGAAAGGGAGAAAATGCAAAATACCAATATCAGGACTCAAAAAGGGGACATCATTATAGATCCTACAGACATTAATAAGATAGGATATTACAATCTTTTTTATAATAAAGTTAATAACTTACTAGTGGGATAAATGCCTCAAAAATGCAACATATCAAAACAAACAGAAACTCTAGATAGAGCTATATTATTAACTATATTGAATTTGTAACTAAAAATCTTCTTCCACAAACATGAAACTAAAGTAAAACCCAGGCCCAGACAGCTTCACTGAGGAATTCTTCCAAACATATAAAGAAGAAATCGTAACAATCTCACACAAATTCTCCCTGATGTTAGTAAAAGGCACTTCCAGCAAACCTGACCACAAAGCCTACCAAGGACAAACACAAAATAAAATGACAGGCAGTGTCACGGCAACAGACAAGCTAATTTACAAACTTACATGAACATGCAACAATACTTCACAGCTAGAGGACCTGCATACCCCAATGTGGAAGCAGAAACCCAGAAACAGCGCACACACCACCAACAGTTAGTTTTCGACACAGGCACCACTTCAATTCAGTGGAGGAAAAATTACCTTTTCAATATGTGGTGCCAGAGCAACTGAATATTCATATGGGGAGTAAAATGGACCCAGAATCCAACCTCCAATCATAAAACAAAAATCAAATTAAGTCAATAAAGGAGATTATCTGCCAGACCTGTGGCGACTCCTTCAACAGCAAACACAGCGGGCTAAAATCCTGACTGGGAAGCTGGACTCTGGGAGAAAACGTGCAGTGCACAGCGCCCACACAGGACCTGCATCCAGAACGCAGGAGGAGCCCCGCAAATAAGAAAGAGGAAGACAGCCCTGGCCAGTTTGGCTCAGTGGATAGAGCGTCGGCCTGCAGACTCAAGGGTCCCAGGTTCGATTTCGGTCAAGGGCATGTACCTTGGTTGCGGGCACATCCCCAGTGGGGGGTGTGCAGGAGGCAGCTGATGGATGTTTCTCTCTCATCCATGTTTCTAACTCTCTATCCCTCTCCCCTCCTCTCTGTAAAAAATCAATAAAATATATATTTTTTAAAAAATGGGAAAGGCCTGGAGCAGGCTCTTCGCATAAGACAGTAGACCAAGTATTACTCATCAGAGAAATGCAAATGAAAGCTACCAAGAGACATGACTTAACCCACCCAAAGGGCTAAAAGCAACAAGAAAGATAATATCAAGTGTTGATGAGGACGTGGACCATTGGAGACGCGCATCCTGCTGGTAGAGTCCTCTAAGCAGCATCCACAGGCCTAATGTAGGCCCCCATATGCCCCTCAGTCATCTATCCAGGAATGAGTGTGTCCACTAAGACACACCTGAGGATGTTCATAACCACAGCTGCAGACAACCATAGTATCAGCCAATAGGAGAAGAGCTGACCAATGTAGTACATCCATACAGGGAACATGACACACAAGATGCACATGCCACACACATGGGTCTAATCTCACAGTGTAACATGAGTGAGAGGCCAGCTCCCATCCCCACAGTACCAAAGACCTGTTCCCTACAGGCAAGCTTGGGGGTCAGAGCAAGGGCAGGACATACTCCACGGCTAGGGTCCAGACCAAAGCTGGCACAGCTCTGGCCCCTCTAAGGGTGTGGCTAAGGTGTGTACAGGTGAGTTTCTCTGGGGGAGGGTCCCAGGTGTGGTCAGATGCAGAGATTCACTTGCAGTGTCCCTTGTGGCCCAGCTTAACTTCACCTTCCTGTCTGCCATCCTTTGCCCAAACTGCCTTCAACAAAGCAAGCACATCACATCACACCAATATCCCAGCCTCTGCCCTGGGAGGCCTTACCCTTTACTAAGGGTCTCTGTCTCCCTTGTCTGTCCCACCCTACCCCCAACCCTGGCTGCTGAATTATCTAGAAAAGCCTCCTGAAAAATGAGTGCCAGTCCCGAGCCTGTAGAGGCTGTGGGGCAAGAAAAACAAGACTCAGTAGGTAAATGACTTCACATCCTGTTTTCTTCACCTATAAATGGAGGCAACAATTCCTACCTTAAAAAACAAAAGCCTCTACAGACAGGCATACAAATATCAAGTCCAAGTTAGGGAGTACCCTGAAAGACAAAGCCGGACAGAGGGACACTGGTTCTGGAGGATATTGAGACAGGACACAGACAAGGTAAAGGAGAGGCCTGTGGACTAAGTGGGGAAGAGCATGAGTGCCCAGAGAAAAGTGCAAAGCCCTGGGCAGGAGGCAAGTCTCCCTTACTTCCTCCTGCCCACTGAGCGCTCTGCAAACCTGCTGCCACAGCTGGCACAGCGCAGGCACCTGAGCCAGCCTGAGCCCTCAGAGGATTGGGGAACTAAGTCTGACTGGATGTGCAGCAAGTTCCTTCTTGACTGGAGTGCGGTTTTCATCTTCTTTTCCCTGTCCCCACCATGATCCAGGCCCCACTTACTCTTCTCACCATGGCGATTCAAGTGCAGGTTGCTGAGGTCGGCTTGGAACTGAGGCCCAACCATGATCTCCTGCAAAGACAAAGACACAGGAGAGTCAGGGCAGGTGGGAGGCCCAGCCATTTTTCAGAGCCCAGGGCTGTGTTGGTCGGTGCAATCTTTCCACAGATGCCAAGTCCTATGGTCTGAGAATGGGAGGCAGAGACCTGGGTGTGTGTGGGTGTGTGAGTCACCATGTGTCTCCATCTACTTGTCCATCTGTTCAGTATAGCCAGTCATGTATCAAGGGGATGAGGCCCAAGGACCCAGGTGTCCTGATGCCCAGCTCAGAGCACTCAGGACAGGACCTTGGGGCCACATCCCCAGGCCAGCCAATGCTACAGCAGCACGGGCCCAAGGTCCCAACACCATGGCCAAGTCCCAGAGCAGCCCACTTCTCAGAGGCTGTGCATTTGTCTTCGCCCCAGGACCAGGCAGAGACTCATGCTGAAGGTACTGCAGGGTCAGGGCCACATACCTTCTTACATTTGTTGGCAGGAAGAGGGTCCTCCTCAGTGTCTGATGAGGTGGAAGAGCCCAGCTCTTTCTCTGTGCCAGTCAGGAAGCGGGCTTTGGGAAAGGGGATGCAGGTGAGATGCATCTGTGCCACTGGGTAGCTCCCCAGCTAGTGTATCCCAGGTCTTCCCTGCTGCCGCCTCCATCCCACTCTCCATCCACTTGACCCCCACACCATGCCACTCCTGAGAAGAGGCATGTCCCAAGCCCTGGCCAGATGACAGGTGCGCCATGGGCAAAGGTGTGGGGATTTGCTAACTGCCAGCTGTGAGCCCCCAGCATCTCGTGCTGCTGGGACACTGCCCCCATATCTGACAGGCCTTTTGATTCCAAAAGCTATAGGAATCAACACATTCCCTCCTCCTGTAAACTAAAGCCAAAGAGTCTCGGCTCACTGGCCAGGGAGACGAAAACCCCAAAGAGACTCAGATAGAGACAGGGCACCCCAGCGGCACCATACGTCTGCGTCTGAGTTATTTCCCCCGAGTAGCCCAGGGCCCCCCGTCCGCATCACTAGAGCCTTGCTCGCCCCAGCCCAAGCGGAGGAGCAGGCAGGACACCTACGTCCACTCTGGCTAGGGAAAAGGTCAGAAGCCTCGTGGGAGGTAACAGATGGGGTGAGATCATCGGCCGAGGACTGTGTCTCTTCCTCTTCTTCCCCTGAAAGCAAATCCTTCGCTATTTGTTCCTTTTAACAAAAAGTAAAGAACATTTTTGCAGTTTGCTTTAACAATCTTAAGATAACACTAATAACAACAACGGTGACACTAACTGGATGGTCCTCCCTCTGGGAACAGCAAGGGCTCACGTGGGGCTGCTCTTCCCACTTTGCAGATGAGACTAGGGGCCAGGGCAGGGCAGCCAGGCTGCCAGCATGGATGCTTGTGTCCCTGAGCCCACACCCTGCAGTCCAGAAAGGAATATCACCTATGTCTGCCTTGGGATGGTTAGACCCCCAGCCACTGCTCTCTCCCTGTGCATCTGTTTTTCAGCTTTGGTAATAAAGCCCTCCTCCTGGCACCACCCCTGACCTGTCAGGACTGGAGAGTCGGGACCTCACTCATTCTCTTCCTTCCCAGCTGCATGACTCCAGCCCAGTCTCCACTCTGCCCCTCTTTTGGCCAGTGGTCAGAGTCTTTTCATCGCAGCTCCCTCTCTGTGGCCACTCTAACCCTGAATGCACTAGCTATGACCCTGGGGAGCAAAAGAGTCCCCTCTAAGAAGTAATCTAGGCCTTGCACTTCTTCTTTTCTGAGGCCTTCATGCCTGCCCTCCCTAAATCTTCCCTCAAGTTCCAGGAAGAGACCCCACTCACCTTGTCCAGGGTCATGTCTGGGAGGGTGGCTGTGGCATCGCTGCCCTCACTCTCCCGCTCCGAGATGGGGTCTGTTGTCTCATAGCCATAGAGGGCAAGCAGCTCATCAAGGGGCATGTCACTGCTCTGAGGGGGAATAGGGCTCTGTCAGGAGGGGCTGTCTAGGCGTTCAGCTCCCCCTCCTCCTGTCTGAGCCCCTGCAGCCACCACAACCAGGGGCAATTTGTCACATTCTGGCAACTCACCCCAGGCAGACCCCAGGTCCAGACCTTTACCCAAGGACTCCCTTACAACCCCCAGGATAGCACAGATAAGACACCAGAGCCCAGAGAGGTCAGGTATGTGCTCCAGGTCACCAGCCTTAAAGGGTGGAGCCAGGACTGGCCTCTGAGTCCACACTGCACTGCCCAGAAAAGCTTCCCTGCTCAAAACCGTTCAGACTTGATTCCAGGAAAGCAAGGATGGCATGCTATCTAGAAATCTAACAGAACTCATGACATCAATAAATCAAGAGGGCAAAGACATATAAATGTCTGGACAAATGTGGAAAATGCATCTGGTAAAATCCAACATCCACCTGATTTTATAAAGCACTCAGTACACTAAGTAAAGAGATAGATGCCCAATCAGTGTGACAGAGATGCTGTCAGCCCTCACTGGGCAACAATGCACAGCCAGAACAATCCCAGCAGTCAGAACAGGAAGGCAGGATTGGGAACACCAGAACTACTCACACTGTTTTCTTTTTCTTTTTTTAAAATCCTCAGCTAAGAATATACTTTTCATTGCTTTTTCAGAGAGAGTGGAAGAGAGGGAGGAAGAGAAAGAGAGAGAGGTAGGGAGAGACATCGATGTGAGAGACACATCGACTGGTTGCCTCCACACATGCCCCGACTGGGGCCTGGGATCAAACCTGCAACCCAGATACATGACCAGGAATCGAACCTGCGACCCTTTGGTCCATGGGGGCGATGCTCTAACTACTGAACTCACCAGCCAGAGCATACTCAAAGCCCATCCAATAGAAAATAAGACATTCATTTATTTACTAGAAGTCTGGTGCACGAAATTCATGCACTCAGAGGGGTCCCTCAGCCCGGCCTGTGCCCTCTCCCAGTCTGGGAGCCCTCAGGGGATGTCCAACTGACGGCTTAGGCCCACTTCCTGCAGGGAGCAGGCCTAAACCAGCAGTCGAACAACCTTAGTGCTGCCAAAGAGGCAGGAGAGGCTCCCACCACCGACACTGCGCTCGCCAGCCATGAGCCCAGCTTCTGGCTGAGCGGCACTCCCCCATGGGAGCCCACTGACCACCAGGGGGCAGCTCTTGTGTTGAGCATCTGCCCCCTGGTGGTCAGTGCATGTCATACCGACCAGTAGTTCTGCTATTTGGTTGATTTGCATATTAGCCTTTTATTATATAGGATTTTTGTTTTTTTAATCCTCACCGAGGATATTTTTCCATTGATTTTAGAGTGGGAGAGAGAGGGAAAGTGAGAGAAACATCGATGTGAGATAAACACATTGATTGGTTGCCTCCTGAACGAGCCCTGACCAGGGTCTGGGCAGGGGAGGAGCCTGCAACCAAAGTACATGCCCTTGACCAGAATCAAACCCGGGAGCCTTCGGTCTGCAGGCCAACACTCTATCCACTAAGCCAAACCAGCCAGGGCCAGAAATAAGACATTTAATTATTAGAAAGAAAGAAACAAAAACTATTACCACCTTCCTCTCCAGTATTGCTTTCAAATCGGTTTCTCACCCTCCTGTAAACCTCTACTCCTTCTGACCACACTCTGTCCTGACCCCAGGGGTCATTGTCAGCCTCTAGCCTCCTGAGCATTCCTTCTCATTCTTTCTGAGGTCAACATCTGCCACCCCTACCAACTTCTGCCCTGCCCTTGTGCTGGGACTTCCATTGCTGTGGAAGACCACCCAGCTTCCTCCCAGCCCTTCCTCTAAACCAAGTTCTTGTATAACACATCATAGTTTCTAATTATGCATTGGTTGGAGGGGTTCACACAGTGGCCCAAAGATGCCCAGGTTCCCTGGGACCTTCACAACATTATGATGCCAATACTTCTATCACTTGTGCTGATGGAGCAGTCAATGGTCCGTGGACAGCATCCTGCAGTGGAGGCAGGAGCACAAAGTGTGTGAGTCGCCAATGCATGTTCCTTACTGCCACCCACTCAGTTTTAAAAAGATGCTAGTTTCAATTACGAATATCCCGTGGTTCAGTGGTTAGAGCATTGGTCTGAGCACTGAAGGGTCACAGGTTTGATTCCTGGTCAAGGGCATGTACCTGGGTTGCAGGTTCAATCCCCAGTCCCGGTTGGGCCACATGCAGGAGGCAATCAATTGATGTCTCTCTCACATCAATGTTTTTCTCTGTCTCTATGTCTCTCCCTTTCCCTTCCCGCCTTGCACTCTCTCTAAAAAAATTAATGGAAAAAATATCCTCGGGTTAGGATTATAAAAAAAAAAAAGAAAAAGAAAAAAATGGCGGGCAGACAACAACAGTCTGTCAGCTGGTACCAGGCAGACATCATCTCAGACACAAACTAAGTGGAAGGCTACGTCCAAAGAAATCACTGCTGTGATTGCTGTGAGAGTAAAATGAGCTTTTAAGCAAAAAATTCTAATTTTGGGAAACATGGATCTGACAATGTGAACTTGATAATTCCCACAGCCTCTGGTAATAGGCAATACGAAATGAAAGGGTTTCTGCTTTTACCTTAGTTTTTAAGAAAATCTAGACCTAGGTATTTAGCTAATAAATAGCTGATTTAGGTATAAGAGTTCTGAGAAATTTTAAATTCATGTTGAACTTTAAAAAATTTTTTTTCTTTTTTGAAGAGAAGACATTTGTTTTGGTTATAAGAGCAAATTGGCACCAAGTGATCCATGACACCAAGCTAAACAAATGCCCGATGGTTAGTCCTTAAAAAAAAATCCCAATACTTAAAGACGTCTCATAAAATCAGTGTTGGTACTGTTATGGACTAAATGTTTGTGTTTCCCCACCCCATTCATATGTTGGGTCCCTAATCCCCAACCTGACTGACTATATTTGGAGATGGGCCTTTATGGGAATACTTAAAGTTAAACGGGATCATGAGTGTGGGGCCCTGACTTCTGATCTGATAGGCAAACTCTCTCCCCTCCATGTGAGGACCTGGTAAGAACAGTGTCTGCACACCAGGAAGGGGCCTCCCCACAAACAGTCCTATAAGACCTTGATTTGGGACTTCTGGCCTCCAGAACTATGAGAAAATAAATGTCTGGTGTTTAAGCCCCCAGGTCTCTGGTATTAACAAATGTATGTTTTTAGATTTTATATTGTAAACTGTCAACATGTGGAAGATCTACTTGTTAGAAAGTCAGGGTTTTGCAAACATGTCATCAGTGCAGAGAGGACAAAGTTACACCTGGGTTAAGATCCACAGCAAGTTCAAGATCATTGGATTGTGACATAACCAAGTACAGGAAGCTCATTTGATATGGCTACTGAATCTACTTTGCAATCACCCTTTACAAAATGACTAGTTGCTGAATTTTGGTCCAGCATCAAAAAATAACTGTAACTATCTGAAAGGTTGTTAAATTCTCCACCCTTTTTTCATGATCATCTGCATGAAGTCAGCTTCACACTTCAACCAGAAGAACACATCACAACAGACACATCTGCCAGGACAGCAGCTGGATTCTCTTACACTGTTCCTGCATTCAGAGATTTACAAAAATGTAAAACTATTCCGCTCTTCCTTAATTTTATTTTTGTTTTGGAAAAGTTATTTTTTCATTTTCATAAAAATCTGTTATTTCTATTAACAATGGGCTTACTGCATCATCAAAGTTGTTTGAGATCCTCAATAATTTTTAAGAAGGTGGGGAGTTCTGAGGCCAAAAAGTTTGAGAATGGTAGGTTTAATGTCCAGCCACCCCACTACTCTGTAACCCTAGAGCCCCTTGAAGGCAAGACAAGCTGCCCTGTCCCTTATGACCTCAGCTTCTAGCACAGGGCCTGGAACTTTGCAAACAGATGTGCAAGTAGAACTTGTCATTGCAGAATCTGAGCAGCTTGCAGACCAATTCAGCCAAAAGAAACCGTGGAGTTTGCCCAGCAGGGCTCCACCCACACGGGGTACAGGGCTCAGTTGAGCCAAGTACCTGGGAAATGAAGTCCTTGTCCAGCTCCTCCTCAGGCTGTGCTGGGCGTCTTGTGGTCCCTTCGCACTCCTCCCGGATGCCGTAGTTCTGCGACAGGATCTCGGCGAGGTTGAACTGCTGGTCTGCAGAGCCCATTGACACACCTATAGAGGGACACCACCTGCATCAGCTCCTCACCCCATCCATCTCCATCATCGCACTGAGACTGAAGATGGCTGAGGTAGAAAAAGCAACAGTGGCCCAACTGCCACCAGGGACAAAGCCCACGGTGGGAGGCCAGTGCACATGTGTGTACATGCATATATGAAAGGCCATGCCTGTGCATACATGTGCATCAATGCAGCTGTGTTAGGCTGTACATGTGCATTTATACACATGCACACGTGTGCAGGCACATGTGCCTGCATGTGTGCTCGTGGTGGGGCTGTGTGCATGCAGCTGTGTATACCTACATGCATGACATGTGCTCATCTGAATGTAGTGTGTGGATGCGTGTGCACAAGTACGTGTAAGGCTGTGTGTGTGCATGTATACGTGTGTGCATTATGAGGCTGTGTGCATATGTGAAGCTGTGTGTGTGTGGCTGTGTCTATACATGCATGCAGTCAGCAATGTCAGTCTACAATGTGGGAACTTCCAACAGAAGGACTTCTGACAAGAGCACACCTGGCTAACTGCACACGAATTCTAGGCATTTTAGGGATGTGTTTTCCTGACCACAGATGCTTGCAAGGGTCTGGGGAGAGAGTAAGTGGACAAGGAAGAGATGAGCCCCAGATAAGTCAGCATGAATAGAGCACAGGGACCCAAGAAAGCTGGCTCCACACCTGGTTTCTGGTGCCTGCAAGGCTTGGGCAAGGCCTTCAGCTCAGGAAACACAAGGGTGACGCTGTACACCCACTTCTGGGAGTCATTGCAGGCACAGTACAGGGAGAATGCCAATGAATAGCATGCAATAGGCCCAACAAATGCCAGTCCCTTCTTCTCCCTCTTCACCACAGCAGTGTCCCATGCACGGCCCAATGGGTGGTAGATGTTACCAGATTTTTAGTTTTCCCCAAAGAGCCAGGATGTGTCCACTGCTCTCTCTCCATGATTGGTCTTCAGTAAGTTGAATTTTACAAACAAAATAACGAAGTCTCAATCAACCCAAGTCATGGAGCCATGAAGGCCAAGGCTGGTCCTCCAAGTTAGTCCAAAGCACACAGCAGCAGTAGGAGGAGTGCAGGGGCCAGGCGGGTGGGGGCAGGTGGCCAGCTCAGGGAATGTGCAGGGCACCCAAGGATGGTGCCCACTCAGCACCCATTCTACCTCCCTCAGTCCCTCCATTTTCCTCCAGCCATGACACAGGCGCTCTGATCCTCCCCTGGGCAGCCTGGCCCCAGTACAGAATGGGAAACAGAGTCCTGGCCACTCTGTCTGCACCCCTGTCCCTGGACTCCGTCTGCACACCGTCTCTGTCTTGCCAGGCTGAGCAAGGTTCTGTCTCTTACAATGACAGTGGCCCTGACGGCCCCGGGCAGGAGGAAGGTGGGGGCAAAGGAGGCACCTGCTGTTGTCGGTAATCCGGGCTCCCTGGGGCACAAACTGTGAGTAAGGCAGGAGACCACTTGAGGGCTCTGCCTCTCCAGCGAGGAGGCCTGCAAAGGAAGAGAAAAAGGGTTAGTTCAACCAGCCTAGAGCCCACCGAAAGCAAGCCTGGCTCTCCGAGTGGCCTCATCTGGACTCTGGGGGATTACACATGTGAGCTGCTTCCAGGAGCTGAGGAGGGAACACTGATAGTGGAACTAGGCATGCAGCTGCTAGAAGTTACTCCCCTGCTCCTAAGTCAAGCACACAGAGGATGCACTGAAGTAGGCTTATACAGCAGCTCTAAACATCAGAGCCTCAATGTCCTCATCTCCAAGTGGGAAAACAACACCCACAGGGGACTGTGAGGAGCCTGACACAGCCAGTAGCTAATAGTGGTTATCACTCACCCAGGACACAGGGACCAGGTAACCTAGGCCCACACACAGTCCTACTGCACACACCCAATAGGCATTCACTGACAGCCATGCCCATTACACAAGGGTCCCAGCCTTCAAAAGGCAAAATAGTCATTTTTGGGACACCTGGAAATTCCTCCAAAAGTAAGCACAGAGTTATCAAATGACCCAGCATTTAATTCCATTCCCAGTACATACCGAAGAAGACTAAAAACATGCATCCATACTAAACACACATGTTCACACATTAGCATGATTCACAAAGGCCAAAAGATAAAGCAACCCAAAAGTCCTACAGCATACAAATGATAAACAAGATGTTGTCTATACACACACTGGAATATGACTCAGCCATGAAAAAAAGTGAAACATTAATAGGTAGATAAACCTTGAAAACACAAAAGGCCACACAGTATGTGATTCCATTTATGTGAAATGTCCAGAACAAGCAAATCCAGAGACAGAAAGTGGATTCATGGTTGCCCAGGACTGAAGAGGGGGTAGGATGACTACCGATGGGGTTGGGCATCCTTTTGGGGTGATGAAAATGTCCCAGAACTAGATAGAGGTGACAGTTTTAAAACTTTATGAGCATATTATAAACCACCGAATTACACATTTTAAATGGGTATATTTTGTGGTATAATAAAAACCTCAAATTTTTTTAAAAGGTCAACAAACTAGGGAAAGAATGGAAACTACTCATAAAGAACCCGCTGATGAAATCCAAAAACACCCCTTAGTGATGAAAGGCACAAAACAGGAATGCCCGCCTTCACCATGTCTGTTCAAAGTAGCACTGAAGGTTCTAGTCAGGGCAAGAAAATGGAATAAAAGGAATCCAAAATGGAAAGCGAAAAGTAAAGCTATTTCTTTTTGCAGACAAAATAATCTTGCATAGAAGGTACTAAGAATTCACTAAAAACTTATCTGAACTAATAAATAAGTTCAGCAAGGTAGCAGATTACAAGATCAACATATAAAAATCACTTTTATTCTCATATATTAACAATTAACAAGCCAAAAATAAAATTAAGAAAACAATTTCATTTCCAACAGCCTCAACAAGAATAAAATACTTAGGAATAAATTTAGCAAAAGAAGTTAGAAACTTACACTCTAAAAAGTGCAAAACATGTTGAAAGAAATTAAAGAGCTAAATAAGTGGAAAGACAACCTATATTCATGGCTCAGAAGACTTAATACGGTTAAGATGTCAATATTCCCAGCTGATCTACAGATTCAATGTGGTCCCTATCAGAATCTCAGCTGGCTTTTACTTGTCTACTGACAAACAGATTCCAAAAATAGTATGCAAACTCCAGGGGCCCAGAGTAGCCAAAACAATCTTGAAAGAGAACATTCCTGATTTCAAAATTACTACAAAGCTACAGCAATCAGAACAATGTGGTACTGGCATAAGGCTGGGCATTTAAATCAAAGGAATAGAAATGAGAATCCAAAAATAAACCCACATATATACAATCAATTGAATTTTTACAAAGGTGACAAAACAATTCAATGGGGAATGAACAGCCTTTTCAACAATGATGCTAGGACAAGTAGGATATTCACATGCAAAAGAACAGAATTGAACACCTATCTTACACCATCTACAAAAATTAACTCAAAATAGGTCAAAGACCTTAAATATGAGAGCTAAAGCTATCAAACTCTTAGAAAGAAACATAGGGATAAATCTTTGTTACATTGGACTAGGCAATGGTTTCTGAGATAAGACACCAAAAGCACAAGCAACAAAAGAAAAAAAATTGATAAACTGGACTTCATAAAAATAAAAGACTTTTGTGTTTCAAAGGACATTATCAAGAAAGTGAAAAGACAGCTCACAGAATGGGAAAAGATACTTGTAAATCATATAGCTGAAAAAGGACTTGCATCTAGAATATATAAAGAATTCTTACAATGCATTAATAACAAGATAACCTATTTTAAAATGGGTTAAGGGTCTGAAAAGACATTTCTCCAGAGATACACAAATGGCCAGCCAATAAGCATGTGAAAAAATATTCAACATCAGGGGAAATCAAATAAAAAACACAGTAAGATACCACTTCATAACCACAGAATGACTATGACTAAAAAGACAGAACAAGTTGTGTCAGGAAGAACGCAGACCATCCAGGAGGGAATGTAAAATGGAGCAGCCACTTTGGGAAACAATCTACAGTTCCTCCAAAAGTTTACCACAGTGTTAACTGGCAATTTCACTCCTAGGGGTTCAGAGTACGCCACCCCAAAATACACCACTCTGGCATAAGCATTATTTCAAACAGAAGACAACTGAGAAAACCAGACACGGGATGAGTTGAAAGCAGAACATAACCTCCTGTGAGGGTGCCCCCCCAAACCAGGAAGAGAGCCCCCTCATCACTGGGGACAAGATGGCACCAAGAGAGAATCTGCACACCAAGACCTTACTAACTCGCCTGAATTTCCACTAGTTCCCCCATGTTTACCTTCCCACAACTTGATGCCCTTAGAAACTCAGTCCTTTTCCTTTGTCGTCACTCCTCTAAGTTTACTGTTCTTTTGTTCAGATGCTACTGAAGCCCAAATCCTCACCACCCCAGTTACCCATCACCTAGTTCTCCGTGTGATGGGCACTACTTGTTTCACTCTTATTAGTTAGGCTGCCTTTCGTCAGTTTAAATCACAGGAACCCCAAGGAGAACCTAGGAGAGTAAAGGGACCAAGTTAGGTTCCTCCTCCCCTGTGATATCCAAGAGAAAAGAAAACTGTACATCTACACTGAAACTTGCATATAAACATTCATAGCAGGATTTCTCACACCAGCCAAAGGTGGAAAGAATCCTAATGTCCATCTGCTGATGAACAGAAATACCAAACAAAACAATAAACTATTACTCAGCCATGAAAAGGAACGAGGCACTGACACCTGCTACCACATATGGACCTCATGGAGGTCATGTGACATGTCCAGAAGAGGCAATCCACAGAGGCAGAGAGTGGGTTCATGGGTGCCAGGGACAGGGGAGGAGGATGGGGAGTGACAACCAAGGAATACAAGGTTTCTTTGGGGGCAATGAAAATGTTTTAAAATCGAGTAATGATAGTTGCACAACTTTATGAACCACTAAAAACCACTGGATTGTGCACATTAAAACAAGTGAATCATACATCAATAAAGCAGTTTGCAAAAAGAAAAAAGGAAAAATATTAGAATACTTACTAAAATAAAGTTTTAAATTTAGAAAAAAAAGTTTAGAAAGAATTTCCAAACTTTCTTCCCTCTCCCTTCCCTGACTTCCAGTGCAAGCCCACCCTCAATGGCATTCCCACGGCCTGCACCTCCCCTGGTTCACAACCACCACAATTCCAGCAGTCACTGCTCCTCTTGCCAAGATGGAAAAAGAAGGATGGGTAGCTGGCTAAGGGCATTCTGGATAAAAACAGTGGGGGGAGGGGGAAAGAAGGAAGAAAGATAGCATTCCAGAGACTTAGTCCCAAACAAGAGGGGGCCGCATAACCTGGTGTTCAGGTCAGGTCTTTTGCGCACGAAGGAAGTACAAGCTCATCAGCAGGAAGACTGCCCTGTCTGGAGGGGGGAGAGCCTTGACTCCTCAGGCGCAGAACAGCCTTCTTCCAGGGCTGCATCCAACTGCTACTTAGCCCCTCCCAGTTTAACCCCCAGTGACATTGTGGCAGATCCAATTCTCCAAGCTGGTGCACCCCACACGCTCTTCCCATGTGATGCTAATATGCTTGCCTTCCTTCAAGAGGTGGGGTTCTGCACCCCCTCGCTGTCCGCAGGGGTGGGCCTGTGACTTTGGTGGGAGCGGTGCTATGTGACTTTCTAGATTAGGCGGTAAAATGCAACTCAGATTCCACCTGGTACCTTCTGAGACAGTCACTGTTGGAACCCAGCTGCCATGCTGTGAGGAAGCCCAAGCCACACAGGCCACAAGTAGGTGGCCTGCACCAGCAGCCACACCTGAGCAAGGAAGCTTTCCTTCCAGCCCCAGCCATCACCTGACTCCAACCACATGACTAACTCTGAATGAAAACTGCCTAGCTGAGTCCAGTCAACCCTCAGGACTATGAAACATAATAATAAAATGACTGTTAGAAAAACTCAGTTTCCAAGCAACTCATTTCACAGCAATAGTTAAATGAAACATCCTTCACCCACACCAGCAAAGGTGGTCGGTCCCACTGGGCAGCCCTGCATTGCTCCATTAGACCAGCGTTTACCGAGTGCTTCCTCTGGGCCAGGAAAGGCAGTAGGCACTGGGTGCATGGAGGTCAATCCAGAAACAGGTTCTGCCCATCTCCACCCACATGAGTTCCTAGTCTAGTTGGTGACACAGATACAAACAAGTGGATATACACAGTATTAAAGGAGAAAACAGGGTGGGGGCCTGCACAGCTGGGGTCAGGGAAAGCCCCCGAGGGCATTTCTAGGCAGGCCCTGTGGAGCACTGGAACAGCACTGTGGTAGCAGAGTGCCTCCAGGTGCAGAGTACACAAGAAAAAGGAAGAGCCAGGGGGGTGGTGTGGGTGACAGAGATCTGTGGGGACCACACCACCAGGCGGAGACCACAGGGAGGGGATGACGACAGCCATGGGGGGGCGTTTAAGCACAAGACAATGACCATGTACTCAGGTATGAGGAAAGCAGTACAAAGCACCCTGTCCACTCTCAAGCACCGCCTCTCCTCTCACAGTGCTGACAGGGTACTGATGGCTACTTTAGAGATGACAAAAAGCAGCAAATCCTGATCAAGTGCTTACTGCGAGGTAACACATCACCATTTTCATCGGTTACACAGCTGGTTATCAGTGATTTGATGAGGCTCAGCTTCTCTGTGCAAGTCCCTGCACCCAGATCTCATGCAACCTCTTGCCCTCGGCTCTTCCCACTTCAGAGATTAGGAAGTCGTGGCTGAGACATTCAGTAACCTGCCCCAAGTCACAAAGAATAAGAGGCTCCAGAGCCACAAGTCTCCTAGGCAGAGGCTGGCCCTGGTCACCATGTCCGACATTTGCACACTTGTGCCTTTATTGACCAGCAGCCCCTAAGGCCCTTTAGGACCGTCACTGTTGGGTTTCTACTCACAACCAGGCCCTCAGGGCCTCCCACAGAGCCAGGTATATAGGGAACCCCACATGTAGGCTTTCTCCAAGGAAACCAACTCAAATTCACTCAAAGGGGCACCTCCCCAAACTGTCAACAGGGGTAACAGGAGCACCCAGGGCAGCTGGCTGCTGTGAGGGTTCCAGAGCCTCAACATTGGACAAGGCAAAGTCAACAGCCAAACCCAGCAGCAATCCAGGCAGGCTGGCTGGGGAATCTGTCCTTCCATCCATGACACACAGCTATCTTCCAGGCCAAGAGTGCTGCCCCAATGACACCTGGTGCCCAGGAAAACCACCACCCATGCCCCTGAGCCAAGAGTGCGGGTGCGCGCGTGTGCACACACACACACACACACACACTCTCTCTCTCTCTCTCTCTCTCTCTCTCTCTCTCAACCACCCCACCTCCCTCCAAACGGTAAGGCCAGCCACTGCCCCCATGAGGCCTGTTTCCCTAAATGCCTCTTAAGAAAGGAGGATTAACTCTCTAAGACCCCTTTGGATCCAGGCACCCAGCACAGGGCCACAACTGGCTGGAGAGGTCTAGCCTTGCACCCAATTGCCCACACCCTCTTTGGCACCAATGCAGAGCCTGTTGCTGCCCCTGAGAAAGTCCCTGGTGGGAAAGAATGGCCAGCCCTGCCCTCCACAACACCTGCCCATGTTCTGCTAAGACGTGGGGCCATGACCAGGCTGAATATCCCGCGAAACTGCTGCACCTCATCGGGTGAGTGAGTACCTTCCTCCCCGTTGGCCTCAGTGGCACCGCCCATCCATTCGGTGAGGACCACTTGCAGAGTCTGTGGACCTGTCTGGCAGGGGCCTTAACTGCTGCGTCCCCAGAAGGAATCACCATGCACTAAAAGTCACATTTACTGAGCCCCTAGCAGGTGCATTACCTCATTTCATCCTCACTAGTGTCCTAGAAGGTGAGAGCAGGTCCACACTGTCTTACTCAATATTCCCAAGACAAGAAACCCCCCCAAAGTGAAAGTTTTTCGTCCTTGCTTTGACCTGGCAAGAAGCTCTTAGGTGTCGCTCCTGATCCCAGATGGCCTAGGTGAGTTTGGTCAAGCATCACAGTTCCAAACTCCACAGACAGATCCATAAACCGGAAAAGCTCGGAATTCCAAATCCTATCAGGCCTCAAGGATTTGGGGTAAGGGTCTTGGGCCTGCTTTCCCGGACGGAGAGAAGAGGCTCCTAGAAGTAACTTCGAGTCCCCGGGAAAGGCTGGTCTAACTCTACCCGCCCAAAGGAACCCTAGAGTTCGAATCCCGCCCGGCATCTGGCGGGAGGACGACTCGGCGGTGCCCCGCACCTGGGCGCTCGAGAGCGGGATGCGGCGGCGCTGGGTCCCAAGCAGGGTCTGGGCGGGGAGAGCGCGACCGCGCGACCAGAGAGTGCTCTGCAAAGTTGGTCAAGGCAGGGGAGGGGCGGCACGCGCACCGCCGGGCCAGCGGAGGGAGGGGACACCCCGGCGCACCTCCCACGCCCCCGTCGGGCGCCCCCTCCTCGCCCCCTCCCCACTCCGCAGCCCCCGCTAGCGCCACGGCTCCTGCACATGCGCACTGCAGCCCGCGATGTGGCAGCCGGGGAAGGGGGGGCAAGGGCCGGGGGCGGCTATCGACGGAGCCCCGCGCCCCTCGGGTCCCAACGGACGCAGCGCCCTGGGTAACGCCTCGCATCCTCGGAGCCGGGGGCGGGGCGGGTCTCCGCGCCCAGAGCCCCGACGTGGCTGAGGTCCGGCGGCGGGGAGCACGGGTGCGCGGAGGTGGGGGGCCGGCTCCCCCGGCCCGCTCACTCACCTCCGCCATGGCCGTGTGTGCGCGGGAGGCGGTGGCCGCACCGGGATCCCCGGATACGGAGCCGCGGGCTCATTGGCTGCGGCGCCTTGGAAGGCGGGGCTGTATGAGGGCGTGGCCTGTGAGGGCGGGGCGCGGGCGGGGCGTAGTAGGTGCGCGGACGGGGTTGCGCGGAATGTGTGCGGGGGCGGGGCGGGCTCGGGAAGCGAGGGTTGGGGGTCTCGGCCTCGGCGTGGGACACGGAGGATGCTGTTAATAAAAACATTGATTCCTGATACCACCACCTGTGTCGGGAGCTTTGGTCCTAGTTTCCCCTGCCAATAGCTTCGCTAAATACTGTAAGTACCCGGTGTTACAGGTGAGGAAACTGAGGCCTAGAATGATGGGGCACCCAATGCACAAGTGGTAGTGCCAGGACCGACGTCGGTAGCGTGGTTCTGGAACTTTCCTCAGTTTTTCATCAGTGATGGTCCATCCCGTGTTCCAAAGAACCGATCGGGGAGCTTGCGAGATGCACCGTCGGGCGAGTTTTAACGGGCACTGCGACCCTGTCTATACCAAGGAACGCGAGTGCCGACTGAGGAGGGAAAGGTGTATTCAAACCCATGGCCGGCCCTTGGGCTCTGAATTCATGATGATGGACCGTCTGCAGGTTCTGAACCTGTGGTGGGCGCTGGGGGAGAATTTGAACAGTACAGTCTGAGTTCGCTACATTTTAAATTTCAGACTTACAAGTGCTGTGAGCATCGGGCAGGTGGTTTATGGAGAGCCAGAGAGGACAGGGCAGTGAGTAGGCGGAGGCGTCCGGCAGGACTCAGGTGGTGGCCGGGAGCAGAGACGTGGAGCGAGCTGGGAAGGTACACCCCACAAGGCCCCTGATGGCAGGCAGGTGGGAAGGGCATGAAGCTCGGCCAAGGTGTCTTGCACAAATGAGTGGTTGGTAGTTCCTCGGACGGATCTGGATAAGCAAGTCTGGACATAGATTCGGGGGGAAATTGTGCAGTTGTGGGAGGGCTGATGTGTGACATCTGAGAAAGTCAAGACAGCGGGGAAAAGTGACTGTGGAAATAAAGGACTGTACAAATCACAGGTGATGCGAACATAAATATTATTATTTTTCCTCTTCTCATCCTTTTGGCCTTCCAGCTTGCCCTCCCCCCTCCAGGCCAAAATTCTCAGAGCCAGCCACACATACAAGGTTAGGATGCACTTGGGTGTTTACTGGGAATAAGGCCTCAGAGGCCCGGCCTGGGTTCAGTCACACTTTTTTGGTGATGCTTTTGGGGGTGGCGAGCTCATATAGGCGAGGGGATGCCCGAGCCTTCAGGGAAGCCGGGGAAATGTAGTAGGGGTCGTAGCCCTCATTGAGCTCCTTCCGCACTTTGGGCTTGGCCAGCAAGCGGATCCGGGCACTGGCCACTGCCTTCTTGGTGACGTCCAGCACCTCCCAGCGTGGATCTCGGTCAGGAACACACTGATCTGACTGGGCCTTGGGCACTACAGGGGCGGGAGAGAGTGACAGCATCAGGCACTCCCCCGAGGGAGAGCAACCCGCAAGGTCAAAGTTCCCAGGTTCAAGGGCCTCTCCAGTGATGAAGGAATGGAAGAACACAACATGTCCCATCCACACACTGGAATATCACTCGGCCATGAAAAGGAGCGGAGCACTGACACTCACTACAACCTGGATGGACCTTGAAACCATGACGCTCAGCGAGAGAAGCCAGGCACTAAAGGCCACACAGTGTGTGAGTCCATCAATGTGAAATGCCCAGAACGGGCACACCCACAGAGACAGGAAGTGGGTTCGTGAGTGTCAGGGGCTGGGGACAGGGTGGAAAGTGACTGCTAATAGGGGGTTTCTCTTTGGGGTGATGAAAATGTTCTAAAATGTATTGTGGTGAGTACACAACTCTGAGTGTATTAAAAAGCATTGAAATGTACTTCCTTTTTTATGGAGGTATAATGCATTACACTTTAAAAGGATAAATTGGCCCTAGCCGGTTTAGCTCAGTGGATAAAGCATTGGCCTGTGGACTGCAGGGTCCTGGGTTCAATTCCCGGTCAGGGCACATGCCACGGTTGCGGGCTCAATCCCCAGTAGGGGGCCCGCAACCCCGGCATGTACAGGAGGCAGCTGATCAGTGATTCTCTCTTATCACTGATGTTTCTATCTCTCTCTCTCCCCCTTCCCTTCCTCTCTGAAATCAATAAGAATGTATTTAAAAAATAAAAATAATAAAAGGGTAAATTGTAAGGAAAAAAATATTTCAAATGGTCACATCCTGGACAGGGGACTCAGAGGGGCCAGTCAAAAGCGTCCTGGGGGCTCAGTAGGCCTTTCACACTCTCTCCTCTGATGTCATGGTGGGGAGAAGTGGTGAATAATGGCCACAGGAGGCAGCTCTCCTTGGCTGGCCCTGCAGGCCTGCTGTGTGGATCCAGGGCAGCTCCTGCATGCACAGGCCCTTTCAGGATTCAGTCTCCCACCTCGTTCTGGGTTCCTGCCCTCACTGTCCAACATGACTGCAGCCTCAGCCAGGCCCTCTCAGGAGTGCTGGCAACATGGCTCCTGCCAACCACATGCAGCAGCACCTGATATGGGCTGGAGTTTTCTTCTATTTAGTTTTAATGAAAGCAATTAATTGATTTAGATCAACTGATAGATTGATTTTAATTGCATTGAAATCATGGCCAGTGGCTGCTGTCATGACAGGCAGCTCTCAGGTGCAGAGAACTGTGGCTCGGCCAGGGTCCCTCTCACCACCTCTCTGCCACCCGCTCCTTTAGGGACTAGAAGGGAGGTGATCACCACTGGTCACTTAGCCATCAGTGTCTGAAAGCCTCAGGATCCTTGGCTTTGAGGGGTGCTCAGGCTCCTTTCTAACCCCTTTGTTTAGAGCAGCGGTTCCAACCTGTGGGTCGCGACACTTTGGGGGTTGAACGACCCTTTCACAGGGGTCGCCTAAGACCATCGGAAAACACATATATAATTACATATTGTTTTTGTGATTCATCACTATGCTTTAATTTTGTTCAATTTGTAACAATGAAAATACATCCTGCATATCAGATATTTACATTACGATTCATAACAGTAGCAAAATTACAGTTATGAAGTAGCAACGAAAATAATTTTATGGTTGGGGGGTCACCACAACATGAGGAACTTTATTAAAGGGTCGCGGCGTTAGGAAGGTTGAGAACCACTGGTTTAGAGCCCCTGTGCAAATGGAAAAGGCCATCTCCCCCCTTCTCAGCGGACAGGCCCTGGCTCGGTGGAGGGGCCCTTGATGAAAGAGAGTGGGGTTCCTTCCTCCAGGCAGTCACAAGCCCACACAGGCCCACTGCTGGGCAAGGCCATCCAGGCTGTACCAGGGCTTTGCCGGGCAGATGACCATTCCTTCCAAAGGGAAGAGGCCCAAGCAGTTGGGCTTCAGTGGCCCCTTGCAGGGCTGGGAAGACCATGGCCAGAACCCAGACTTCTCTGCCCTCCTGTGTGAGAATTCTGGAGTATTTCCACTGTTGTAATCTCTGGAATATTAAACTCTGTTGATGAAATCCACCACCACACACAGCACACATGTGGTCACACAGAGAATAATGGACTCATACCCACATAGTTCATGCTCTTTGTCATCATTTCAATTTTTTAAATGCTGGTCACACCTATTAGTGGGTGGAAGTTTGCTGTTTGAAAAGCACAACCCAACACATTCTTACACACACACACACACACACACACACACACACGGATGTGTATTTACAGGTACATCTGAAATACGGATCAATATATAGATGAATGTGTAGGTACGAATGTGTATATATTTATATTCCAGGTATATGTGAGAGAGAAACAAAATGGTCTTATGAAGCAGTGCATATGTACTCATATGTTTTTGTTCATTTAACCAATCATTTAATAAGTATTAAGGGAAAGGATAAATGAATGAATGAATTAAACAAACAAACAAAAGATCCTGTAAGCAGAGTTAAAAGAGAATACGGATTTGGGGAGAAGGTATTTTGCAATGTGCTCAACAAAGGATTAGGGATCACCTTATATAAAAAGCTGCTCTAAATCAATAACCAAAAAACACAGGAAATAGAAAACTGGGGAGATGACAGAGCAGAGTGAACCAGAATGGCCAGTCACACCTTCTGGTGATTATCTGTCAGGAGTAGGGGACACATAGCATTTCCAAAGCCTCTGGCATTGCAGGCCTGGCTTATAACAGACTGCAGAGAATGAAGAGACGCATCAATATATTGTAAATATGTATGTTAGAATGCAGCAGAAGCTGCAGAAAAAGAGCTCGGGCAGTCACGGTGCACACAGGTGTCCAGAGGTGGCATAGCTCATGGGTTAAGCAGGGCGCTCAGAGGAGTCTCACCTAGAGGACATATTGGAGCTCCGCCCCATGGCGGGCAGAGGAGTGAGCCATGCAGGTGTCTGTGATCAGTGTTCTAGGCAGCGGGAGAGGAACCACATAGAGGGGGTGGGCAAGGGTCAAACAGATCACAAGGGCCTGTGGGCCACACAGAGTGAGACAGGACGCTGGGAGGGTCATGAGCAGAGAAGGGGGGAATCCAACTTAAATTTAGCAGGACCTCTGTGGCTGCCACACGGGAAGCGGGCAAGGGTGGCACCAGGGATAAGGGTGGAGGTGACTGCTCTGGTCCAGGGACACCTTAGGGGGCCATGCGGAGGGCAGGGGGAGCTGTGGGCGGGTTCTTCATGTGCTCAGAAGACCAAGCCCACAGGAGTTGTCAGTGCATTGGATGTAGTGTGTGACGGGAGGGGACTGGCAGGAGAGCGCTTGTAGCGTGCACACTCACGGGCACACACTCAACGGTAGGCATTTGTGGCTCTGCAAGTGTTACACCCAGAAGGAAACACACAAAACTGCTTTATGTTTGGGTGGGTTCCTTTCTTCTCTAGGCTAGCCTGCATTTTTCCAATTCTCTACAGCTGGTACACATTACTGTTGTCATGGCGAGACTGGGTATCTCATTTGTTTTAAAGGACAGAA